TGCCACGGTCACCTCTACAAGCCAAGGGTCTGTTGCTGGCGGCCATCCGCAGCAATGACCCGTGCATCTTCATGGAGCCCAAGATTCTGTACCGCGCGGCCGTCGAGCAGGTGCCCGCGGGAGCGTACACGCTGCCGTTGTCCAAGGCGGAGGTGCTGAAGGAGGGCAAGGACGTGACGATTATCTCGTACGGACAGCCGCTGTATACCTGCATGTCGGCCATACAAAAGGCCGAAGAGGAGCTGGGCATCTCTGTCGAGCTCATTGATCTTAGAACGCTGTACCCCTGGGATAAGGAGACGGTATTCCAGAGCGTGCGCAAGACAGGCCACTGCATCGTGGTGCACGAAGCGATGGTGAATGCTGGTATCGGTGCTGAGGTTGCTGCCACGATCCAGGAGGATCCTGATACCTTTTTGAGGCTGGAGGCACCGGTTGCAAGAGTTGCTGGATGGAGCATTCACACTCCGTTGCTTTATGAGAAGTTCAACATCCCTGATGTTGCAAGTAAGTGTTGCCTCCTACCCATGATAAACGCAGCAACGATTTCTAACGTATCTCAGGGGTTTATGACAATATTAAGCGGGTTCTGGATTATTGAGACTTGGTAGGGGACCAGGAGTGATAGGGAAGATAACGAAGAAGAAAATTCAAAACATAGCACATACCCTTAATGACATGCCATACAACTTCATAAGTAATGTTCTGCTAGCTTTGGATATGAATTGGATGCAGGTAGCAGCGAACCCGTTGACATGTTCGCTTCGTGATGGGGAAGTACACCATGAGTCCACTTCCTTCAGCTCAAGTGGAGGTCCCGCGCTAACAATTAACCCCCTTTCCCAGCCAATCCGCCCCTCCCCATGTCCCGCCTCCAACTGCCCCGCATTACGTTTCAACGTTCGAGAGAGGCAGACAGCTCTCCATTTACTCCGTACAGCCGCAATCGTCACCGACTCAACGACAGACTGATTGCGCGACCAGAACCTTTGACCCTTTCCGCCGCACCAGCTTGCAACCTCACAATGTCCCAAGTCGAGACCGTGTCCTCCTTCGTGGAGGGTGCTCCCCCAGGCGAGGTACCTTCCCACTTGCCTCGAGCTCCATCCCCTTACGACGCGCATGACGTCGCGAACCGCACCCCAAGCTGACCTCGATTGAAGCTCGCAGATGTTATTGCAGGTAAACCGCACTTGCCTACCCTAACCCCCAACTCTGCCACGAAGACGAATGGGCCGACAGCTCCGAACGAACTGCTAACACCGTCGCAAAGATATCAAGTCGCTCACCGTATCGGACCCCGAGATCGTGTCCAGCCTCGAGCCGGCGTTTGAAAAGTACAACGAGGAGCAGTTCGTCACGGTGAAGCTGCCAGGCGGGAGCCAGCAGGTCATTGTTAGCGCGCACAGCTCGCTCGGCGACGGCCAGTACTTTGACGTGGAGAGCTCCACGAGCTTCTTCTTTGACCACACCACACAGAAGGCGAGCAACGTGCAGAGCTACGTTTTGGAGAGCGCCAACTCGGACTTGATGTAGGTTTTTTTTTTTTTTTTTTTTGACGGGAATCGAGACAACAAGATGAGGACAGTGATGCTGAGAGAGCTACGTGAACAGCAAGTCGACGTTGAAAAGCCTCAGCCCCTATGTCCAGGAACACTTCCCCAACGCCGCGTACGGCGTCTACCCCACCGAGAACGATTCCAAGGTTGCCGTCATAATCGTCTCGAACAAGTACTCTCCCAACAACTTCTGGTACGTGATACCCCTATAGCGCTCTTCCCTAAGCGTTCCCCACCGCCGCGGGTGCATGCACTAACCCGTGGGATTACCATCAGGAACGGCCGATGGCGATCAGTGTACATCTTCGACCCCTCCTCCGAGGCCCTCGAGGGCTCCGTCAAGGTCGACGTGCACTACTACGAAGACGGCAACGTCAGGCTGCTCACGAGCCGGCCCAGCCAGGCGTCGGTGTCATCGGGCACGGGCGCGGGCATCGTCAAGGAGATTGCGGCGTCGGAGAAGAAGTACCAGGAGGAGCTCAACAGGGGGTTCACGAGCCTGAGCGAGGGCGCGTTCAAGGGCCTGCGACGACAGCTGCCGGTGACGAGGCAGAAGATTGAGTGGGACAAGATTACCTCGTACAGGCTGGGCCAGGATATTGGCGGTGGCCGGAAATAAAGAGAGAGTGGGGAAAGAAGGACAGAAAGAGAGAGTCTTTTGATTGTTAAGGGCTACATATAGAGTGTTTGCTCGACTGGTGCATCAGCATGCCAAAGCTAGGAATGGTTTAAAAAGCTTTCTTTACCAACACATCACTTTTGCTGTCAGGAGGGTCTCCACTGCAAAGAAGTACCTTGGTGAGGACGTAGGCTTCATTCCCACGTGTGATCCTGGGAAGGGTGTCGACACAAATAGACTGCGGAAGTCACCTCTTACCTCAACAGAGAGACTCAAGGAAATTTAGCAGATAAAGAATGCAACTGAATTACCCCTTTTAGCTTTCGGGCCATCAGGTTGTCCATTGCAGCAACCGTGTAGAAAATAGAGGAGGAAATGTGTACTAGACGGAATTGTAAATCGAACCGGCGGAAATTACCTAATCGGGTAACATATCGCGATGACATCTTCACGACCGCCCATAAAGAAAAGAGCTATCGCAGCCGATTATCTAAAAAAGAGTCAAGAGCTGAGGCCTGAATCTCAATCTTGTTACCCCGCGCGTTCCCCGCCTTTTGGGCTCATACCAAGTCACAAGTGGGAAGCCTGGCGCTCGGGAGGGAGTTCAAGGGGAATGACGATACCGGAGGCCGGAGACCGCACGGGACTGCCTCGGCATCATCCCGAATTTCCCGAAGGGTGGGTTGCGGGATTGGGGGGAAATATCCGTACGGCGGAATTGGACACTCGATAGGTTCCATACGTCAGGAAAACGTGTCGTTCGGAGAATCAAGGAAAGTTGATGCTGGCCTCTCTCTCTCTTTTGTATTTCGTGAGTTCATGATAGCTGAGGTAATGTTCCGTTGGAGGAATTGGACTGCCCGTATGCTCCGTGGGATCCGGACTCTTTTAATGGTCAGTGATCAGTCCGTCCGAAGTGTATGTGCGTGTTTGTGTGTGAGCAGCCCTTTATTTGCGATGTCACAGATGCGAGGTACAGACATGCAGTGTGGTAGTGTATCCCGTACATGTGTGCCCCGGCTGGTCCAGTCCAGACTCCCAGCCCGGAGAGCCAGGCTAATTCACCTAGTCCAGCCCAGGAAACCCCGCGGAACGGCGAGATAAGGCAAGATCCGACGGAACGATAGCGTCAGTATTGAGTCGATTGACGACGAGGGGAGGGAACGGCGCAGATGGCAAGGGTGGGGGACGGTATGCGTTCCCCGTGGAAGCGGGATTTGGGAACAATGACCTTGCAGCGGTACGTGTGGGCATTTGCGGGACTTGGTGTTGCAGTCGGGCTGCTGGTGAACCACGAGAAGGCGTGGGAAGCAGCAACGATTGGCAATGCGAGTTTACGAACACGAATAACTGGGGAATTTGACCCCGAAGACGAGAGGCCGTGCCGGACCCTTGTGTACAGTAGAGTACAGACAGACACTCGGTGTGCTTGGGGGGACGTTGCAGTCGGTTTCTTCCAAGATTCCTGTTATACAAGCTGTACCGAATACTGCGTAAAAGGGCATTTTGCATAATAGAACCGCTTCGGTAGCGGACACCGATGTGATTCCGCCCCGTTGGAGGATTGGAGGGGCCATGCGTTTCGAAACGAGCCAGCAACGTGCTCTCTTTCTTTCTCAAAGTGTCGATCGACCGCGGAAGCTGGGGGCGGTAAAGAGGTGGAAGACTAGGTACGAAGTAACCCCCGGTACTAAGCGGCGAGTGTTTAAGTTTTGCAGCGGGAGCCCTGACTCGACAATTCGCTTTGGGAGTATCAACGGGCGGGGTGAAGCGAAGGAGGACGTGGCTGGGCCAGGAAAGGCAGTTTTGCCTTGGCCCAAGGTCCTTGGTTCCGGTTGATGGCTATGGCAAATCGACGCGGGTGTTGTAGGTGAGTGAGACTCGAGTATACGAATTACCTTGGCCTGAATGTGAGAATTTGGGGTATGTGAACAGGGTGTGTGCTATGCGTCAAACGGTGGCAGCCTTGGAAGGGTGTCAAATGTCTGTCTGGCTGGGGTTCAATTACCCGAGTGCGATGCCGAGAAGGAGGCCGGCGAGCTTCTCCTCTCTGGTCTAAGCAAGAAGGCCATGGAACTTGTGGAAGTAGTCGGGTCCTTTCCATTGTCACATACTTACCGGTAATACCTTACTTGCCTACTCAGGTAGTGTTCTGACTCTACAAGGTACCAAGTTCCGCCAGCTAAATTGGCTCCCCCCTTTGAAATCGCACCTTCTTCCTTGTGCTGCCGCCTGCCTTACTGTGGTGCCTCTCTTAAGTATCCCCGGCCCACATTCACTCCAGCGAATCACGGCAACTGTGCACTAATTTCTTCTTTTCTCATTGGCTCAAGACACCGTCCACCCCTGAGCGGACTGCTAGTACCAAGCCCAGTACTGTTGTGAGGTGTCCACAGGTAGTGACCGCTTGGTCCCAGCGGAAGCTTCCATCAGCTGTCAGTCCCAGTCCGCAAAGTGCTGCGCTTTCCCCCCCGATTTTTAACGGGGTCCCGCGATAAAGCAGTGTGAACGGGCTCAACAACATCCGAGGGACCTCCTTCTCGTCCGATTCCGTTTTCCTTACTTCCTCCTGCACCAAAAAATCTCCCCTTCCTCTCTCACCTAATCTCATCCCCAAAGCCAAACTTTTCCGCCTGCGATTCTTTTCCTCCGCTCTGTGTTGCGCAAACCGAATCGAATTCTTCACACCGAATCCTAGCCAAATCAGCAAGGACCCTCAACAAACTTCCCACCCCTCCGATAAACAAGGAAGGAAGAAAAAATAGGAGCCACGTTTACCAACAACAATCCTTTACCGTCTCTCTACACACAAACCAGTCACAATGGGCGCTGTCGAACTCACCTACCAGGATGTTGCTGAGCACAACACCAAGAAGGACATCTACATGGTCATCCACGACAAGATCTACGACTGCACCAAGTTCGTCGACGAGCACCCGTAAGTACTTAGCTAGACCTGCGTCTGCCTCCCGCCACTCTCGCGCCAGTACCCCTCCTAAGGATTCCAATTTCTCTCGACGAGTACCTCCAGCTGACCTCTTTTCCCTTCATAGCGGTGGCGAGGAGGTTCTTCTTGACGTCGGTGGTCAGGATGCCACCGAGGCTTTCGAGGATGTCGGACACAGCGACGAGGCCCGCGAGACCCTGGACCAATTGTACCTCGGTGACCTGAAGCGCCAGGTGAGTCAAAGCAATGATTCTTACTTTGCCGCGTTCGCGCGCGCAACGATGTCCCAGCTGCAGAAAGCAATCGTGCTGACTTCCCCCCTTTCTACAGCCCGGAGACCCAGCTCCCAAGAAGCAGGTTGCCGCCAGCAGCTCAGCTTCCAGCACCGAGAGCCCCGGCTTCGGCATCGGCCTGTACGCCGTTCTCCTCGTCGGTGGCGTCCTCGCATACGTCGCCTACAACTACCAGCAGCAGCAACAGCAGCAGTCCGCATAAGACACAAGCTGCATTGCTACGGTCTTGGACTTCTTTTTACAGCAAAGCAGAAAATGCCGAGAGGGTTAAGGGGCTCCCACCACGATCGCCACCGCCGCTCCCCCGAAAAGGGGCAAACGAGGATGCGCGCGCCGCCGCCACTGCGATGAAGGCGGGGGCTCTGGTCATTGTCTTCAACAGGCGGAAACTTGGGTTTGAAGAGCGAGAGAAATGGGGGCGCAAAGGTTTGTTTTGAAAGCCTTTGCGTCACCTTGAGGTCCCATGGATGTGTTACGAGCTGGCGCAGACGGGTTACAGGGGAGCTTTTATTCACAGGCAGAGGATCTGGCTGGTCGAGCAACGGCCGAACCGAATCTGCCGGGAGAAGATATGCTTTTAATAGAATATACGTTCTGGTCATGAGACTTTGTTGGAGATTCCGCACTGGATATACTGGGTAGTGGGCGTCGTTGCTCTAGGCACACGATAACGGAATCGTTTAAAGCATTGCGTTCTTTGGTGATTGTACAAACCGCTTAGCAGTGAGATCAACAGACGGAGCTTTGGGTACGGCAATTGAGATTGCAGTCACAGTGACTTCGCCCACGAAGATTGAAGGTTGAGCTGCTACAGATTCACGAGCTGCCGCATACTTGCGTTCACAAATTGCCCTGAGAAATCAACCTTCGCTTCTCCCAAGAAAGCTACCACTCTTGCGTCAACCTGGTGTTTCCATGAGCCAGCATGGCCCGTGCAAATTGTAACCCGCGTTCAGGTCCCTCGCCCATGCTGTTAATCTCGGAGACTCAATGTGCTAGAGGCCTGGAACCCATCAGCTCGGAATTTTTATGCGCGAGAAGCGGAATCGGGGCGTCTCCGTATTCCGAACCAACCGGATTGCACCGTGGCTGAGTTATCTCACTCTCCACCCATTCACCAGCCACGTCCGTGCGCCACATTATCGAACGTCCCGTCCTGGAGAATTGAACTGACCAGCAGCAGGCAGACAGCCAAGCACCTTGAAGTTCATTACTTTCCATTGTATCGACAAAGCAGCCTTTTTGCTTCTCTCCCACACCGGCTGTCAACCTCGCGACGCGGACGAATATATGCGGGGTAAAAGCGAACCGCGACAAAAAGATTTCGGATATTTACAGGCTTCCGGGCTGATAAGCGATCGAGTCGAGAGGAATACGGTCGGCGACTTTTGGAGGCTGAAGCTGGGATAGCTCGACGATTGAAAGAGAGAGGACCACAACGGTGCGACCTGCGAGCGACGATCGATCTGGATTGACACGAGGGATTCTGATACGGTCGAGACGAAGGAAGAAGAATTGAGAGGGTTTCTTCTGGCAGCATCTCCTCGCGGGAAGGCGGCCTTCGACGTGGTAGCTTTTGAGCTGAGATACGCCAAATCCTCACTATATCGAACACCTCCCGGCCAGTCACGTCGTAAATCAGCCCACGACTATAGCTCCTTGCGCCAGGCTTTGGATAGTACCTCTTTCTGACGCCACTACGAACGTCCCGCAAGGAAGGCCACGAGCTTCCGAAAGACCATCTCCTACGGCATCGAATACCCTCCACTATTGCCCATCATGTCTTCCCTTCTCGAAAAGCAGAAGGCTATGTTCAGCAGCTCGCTGGCCTCGGCCGCGAGCAAGCTGCAATCCAAGAGCACATCTCTCGCGCCGCCGTCACCCTCCCCGTCCGTCAGCAGCATGGCGTCAGCATCCAAGAACGACACCACCGCATCGGGCAAGCGGAAGCGCGACCCCAACGCAATTGTGTACTCGCAGCCTCAGAACACTAGTTTTGGTCAGGAAGTCTTTACACAGATGCAGTATGCGCTGGAGTGGCTCAAGGGCAAGGACGAGCCCAAGACGGCGACCGAAATCTTTGACCACCTGGGCCAGACCCGCAGCACCGACAAGCACAAGCAGCAGCTGGTGGAGGGCATGCGGCGGCATCCGCGTATTCAGTGGGTGCCCGATCCGAAAATGTCCGAGCAGACATGGCGGACGGGCACGTACGTCCACCGGCCCATTATCCCCGGCGTCAAGGACAAGATGACGCTCCTGCGGCACCTGCAAAGCAAGCGGGACGCCGAGGGGACCAACGTCAAGGACCTCAAGGACGGGTGGCCCGACTGCGACCAGGCACTGATGGAGCTGGAGCGCGAGCACAAGATCCTGATCGTCAAGACCAAGAAGGAGCAGCACCCGCGCGCCATCTGGCTCGACGACGCGACGCTGCACCACCACGTCGACGACGAGTTCAAGCGCATGTGGAACGTTGTCGAGGTCCCCTCCACCGACGACATTGTCAAGAAGCTTGTTTCTGTGGGCCAGAAGCCGGCCAGCGCCGACCCCAGCACGATCAAAAAGGTCGACTCCAAGAAGCAGCAGAAGAAGCGGGCTGTTAGGCGCACCGGCAAGACGACTAATACGCATATGGAGCATCTGCTCAAGGATTACAGCCACATGGTGAAGCGGTAGACGCGAGCTACCTAGTGTTTATATACAGGGAAATGCATTTTCGAAACGGCGTTTTGGGTTCGGACGGCGGAGAGAGACGACGAACGGACGGACAAACTTCATTTAGCAAAGACCTGGGACAGGCATTGCTGTCCTTTTTCCGTGTCAGTTCTTTTTCCCTTATAGACGGATGGGTAGGTTCATAGTGGGCTTTTGTGCCGCAGTTGATGCAGAGAACAAGCATTTCACTCATGCGGGAGGCAGGGAACTATGAAAGTTACACCCCAAAACAAAGAACAAAAGAAGAATGATGAATATCCAGCATTACTACATTCTTTGACGCTGTGCTATGGGAAATGATGTTATTGCTACCGCCATGCCATATTGCTGAAAAGTCAACAAGAGAATGAAACAAGAAGCCAAACGAACAGACAGGACATGCCTCCCACCCCCTCCTCTCCCTTTCTCACATCATCCTCAGTCCTCTCATCATGGCTCGATAGAGGAAAAGGAACCCCCCCCCCCCCCTAACAGAGAAGGAAAACAAAACACCACCAAGAAACTCAACACCCTTCCGTAACCCGCTCAAAAACCCTCAAAAACACATCCGGCTCCTGATTCCCACCGACCCTCCACCTCCCTTGCACCGTAAACGTCGGCACCCCCGTGACCCCCGCCTTCCTCGCGCCCACGACCTCCGCGTCGACGACTTCCCCCGCGCGATCGCTATCGAGCGCGGCCTCGACGTCGGGCTCCTTCAGCCCCGCCGCCTCGACGGCCGTCTTGACGAGGTAGGCGCGGTCCGAGATGTCTGCGCCGAGTTCAAAGTGGCCCCTGAAGAGCGCCTCGAGGAGGGCGTCCTGGGCTGCGGGACCGCGGGAGGCGAGGGCGAGGCGCAGGAGCTTGTGCGACTGGCGCGAGTTGCCGGTGCGGCCTGTGACGTTTAGGGCGATGCCGGTTCGTGTGCAGGCGGAGGTGATGCGGGATAGGGCGGCGGGGAGGTCGCCTGCTAGGGAGAAGCGGGTTGTGTACATTTCGCGTTTGTCGTAGCCTTTTTTGAGGTTGTGTTAGGAGGAGAACTGCTTGTTTGGGTTCTTATTTTCATGGGTGTGGTGTTGGGGCTGCGAAATAAGTTGGCGGTTGGTGTGAAAGGATGAGAAAGGGGGGAAGTGAGGGTGGCATGGGTTTTTGGTGTAAGTGAGAGTGAGGGAACATGAGAGAGAGAATTCTCCTCTGCGACAAAACGATATGAAGCGGAAGACATGCTCTCAATTGCAGGGAAAATAGAGAGTAAAGAGTAATGGAGAAGACGAAAACAACGTACCGGTGCTCTTCAACGCCGGGCTCAGATAGAACGGCTTCCAGACGACCTCGAACTCGGCGGTAGGGTCCACGGCGCGGTACTGTGAGATTGCGCGGTCGAGGTTCCTCTTGCCGACGTAGCACCACGGACATAGCAGGTCCGTGACGGCCTCGATCTTGATGACCGTCATTCTTTAATTATCTCGATAGATGGCTACCTTTGTTGTTGTGTTGTCGTTGAGTCTTGCCTTATACTGACGAAGGGGGTTTTATGTGATGACGGTGAATGATGGGCGATGAGGTTGGCCGCGTGGTGTGTAGCATTCGTCAAGGATATGCCATACGATGGTAGACCGCTGGAAGAAATTAAATATGATGAGATTGTCGATTACGAAATTGGAATCACTTGGCTGTTCGAATCTGATGAGTAAACGAGTGATGAGAAAAAGACACCAAGGCGTCGTTTATGCCTTCTGTCGTGGTTTCTCGGCACCCGCCAAGGGCGTGTTTTGGGCGAGTTTGTGTAAGCCACAGACGGTCGGTCCAGTTTGTCAACCCAAGGTCGAAGGTTGGACTTGACAGCTCCCGGGTTCAAAAAAATAAACTCTGTCGGGGAACAACCACCGGATGTGTGTGGATTTTGGGATCAAACTGAACTTGCTGCACCCTTCTGGAAATCTTCGGGAACGTCAAGGGGCAGCTGAAGTATAGCTAGTAGGGGAGAGAAGGGGGGGAAGAGAAAGAATAGAAGAAGGTGTGGGTATTAGAGTTTCCTTTCCACAAACTGCGCCTACTTTGTCAGAAGTTGCGGCGATCTTGCTGATATATAATAGGTAGTTTGCGCCGTGGACTCCCCGTCATCTCATGGCTTTGCACCACCAGTCTAATCCCACATTGTTGGCATATGGTGTGCGTGTGTTTGCGTATGGGTGGTGGTGGTGGTGGTGGTGGTGGACGCGTGGGTTGGGTTGGGGGGAAAATCTTGGAAACGAGGCAGGAAGACCAAAGTACCCTGCTAAGCTTACCTACTTGGAATCAAAGACGCAAGGTCCAAGGAACGAAAGTATCGAAATGAATACTAATCAACGGGCTCGTAGCTTGCTCAGCGCGGCTGGGTGATTGATAAACTAATAAACGTCGCTCCCAAGGAAACGCGAGAGAGAGCGAGGACGGACCACTTTTCCCCCTTCCTTGTGTTGTCTCTTCTCGAATGTGTCACCCTTCGGGCGAACAGTAAGAGAAGACTGGGAACAATGATACATAATCCTTTCCTTCGTCCTTCCTCTCCTGATACACACCCACAACCTCGTACTCTTGTCTTTCTCTTTTTTCTCGACTACTAATCCAAAGAAGAATGACCAATTTCTCCGGGGTGCGCGCGCGCTCTCCCCACCTAAGCAGCCCCAAACCCGAGGTGCTTGGAAAAAGGACCGTCACGACATCATCACCTCTTGTTCATAACGTTATGACTAGAAAAAAGAACCATGAAAAGAACTCGTAATGTCTCGCACCCGGCTTCTCGGATTCAAGACTGGAAATGTCAGATCCCACCGCATCCCGCCGGCTTCCCCCCCCTCTCACTCTGAACCATGGACAAGACTTTCGCAAGGCCACTCAGTTACAAGTTCACTAATCATCTCCCACACGGCTCACCACAAAAGTCGGAAAGGCGCAAGTTTGATTTGAATCCGGGACTCGGGGCAACAAACGCCATGTGCCTCGCCTCCCACCCCCGGGAATTTTTGATTTTCTGATTATATCATCATTTCTGATTACATCCAAACGTGAACAGACAAAAGTACAAAGTACGCGGGGATAAGAAAAGCGACGTGAGAGGGGGAACAAAAAAAAGGAATCGCCTCGGATTCGTTTTGTAAACCTCGGCGGTTCAATTCGGGTACTGGTTCACAAACATTACCACCCACGATTTTCTTCGCTACTATCGTCGCATTGCCCGGACTTTTGGTCTCACTCTCTCCTAGTCTATCGACTTTGTTGTTTTCCCCTTCAGTTGCTGCACTCTCATCCGTCTCAATCTCACGCAGAGGCATGCATCTTTTGGTTGAATGGCACCGATGGATGATAACCACTTTGAGGTAAGTATTTTGACAGGGTAGTAGGCCTCGAGTCTTGGTCATGCCGTAACGAAAGTCGGCCAAGAAACCTCTTACATGACACCGAGCGGGAGACCCTCACACAATAACCACCCGCTGCCTGCCACATTGCACCCTCCCAAGTGATTCATATGTCGCTCAATACCTTAGCTCCATTCTCACCATTGAAACTACCATTGTTGCTGCTGCTACTCTTGCTATTGCCACTGTTACTACTATTATCGTCATCATCTTTCTTCATGTTTCATGTGTTCCTTGAAGAGCACACCTTCAACAGCGCAGTAACGTAATCATTATTATGGCATGGGTTGCAACGAGGGGCAATTGACCGACATCTACTTTGTCACTCAATTACCTTCCACAAAGACTTCATTGAACACATGTTCTCCATCTCAAAAAGAAAGAATGCGTGCTGAGTAAGAGACAACGGTGATGATTTTAGGTGTGAGTGCGTACGTGTGTACCCGAGCAATTATAAAAATAAAGTATGTTCAATGAACATCTACCAATCATTCCACAACACCAACTCAACTTTCCAGAAAACGTGACAGTGAACGCGCAACGCACATCCTGTTCGCCTTGTAACACTTATGTACGAAGTTTGCGACATTTTTTGCGGCTGGGAATCAACCAACCGCCAAGTGCAGCGTGCGTTAAGTAGTGGGACACACACGCCAACCCCGGATCGCCCTCCAACGGGATCTAGATTAATTCCCACCTCCACTGATGATGCACAGGTAAGCCGCACGCGGCAAGCAGATATGCACGCGCACACTGACCATCATGAGATCGGTCCTCAAGCTCTCCCGGTCACCTTACGGCTCTAGCTCCGTCATCTTCAGCATTTTTGTAATGCAGGAGGAAGAACATGCAAGCATCAGCAACAAGTTGAACGATTGAGGAGAGAAACAGATTGCTACGCGCATTCGTTGTCTAGTACAGAGTACAGTGTTGCATACAAAACATTGCATATCAGAAAAAAAAAAGAGGCACGTTCCTTTCTCGAGCGAGTCTCCGCCAATTCCGTCGGCGTGCTGCTCAAGCGCACGCCATGTCCTGTCTGGGAACTCCTCCCAACCTTTTTTGCCTCCAGCCAATGCCCATGGAGACCCAGCCATCATGAAGTGTGTGTGCTTCCCGCCAGTCTATGATAACAAAAGAAAAGGCGGTTGTAAAACAAACCGGATGACTGCCCGCCCCTTGGTATCTTCCTGACCTTGTCCCGGTGCAGCCCGCAATATTAAAGTTGTATGTTATTTACCGTCCCCACCCTTGCCATGCACAAACTTTTCGTACCGCAAAAAGAAGAAGATGAATCCACACCAAGGAAATCTTTCTGGCCATCTGCATTCCTGGTAATCCCAAAAGACTCAAGGAGTGACTGCTGGCGATAGTGTTACATGTGCCGTCCCTAGTGAGCACCTGCCCACAGCTCGCCTTGACGGCCCTTAATATCATAGGCTCCAGCAGGGGGCTCAGTGCTCTGAGGGCGGCGGACCTGAGCTGGGTTGCCGTAAAACATCTGACCACCAAGCGAAGGCGCAGAGGGATAGGCATCGGGATCGGGGTAGGTGTAGCCACCACCGTTGCTGCTGTGGGAGGGCGACGGCACGTGCGATGGAGACTGCCATCCGACGGAACCCATGTGAGGGCTACCGCCAGCACTGCCGGGGCCAGAGTGCTGCTCGACGCTGGGCTCGAGTGTCGGAGGCGGTCCATAGCTGGTGGGGTGCGAGGTAGGTCGCATACCAGTGTTGTAACCTCCAGAAGATGTCGATGCCGGGCTGCCAACATGCATGTCTCGCTGAAGGTGAACAGGGAGTGAGCTGTTGCCCATGTACTGGAACTCGGAGTTGGCACGGTGCATGCTGTCGGCACTGGGGGACATCGAAAGGGTGCGCTGGCCAGGCGAAGGCGTGGTAAGAGGCGATCCACGGTTGGACATGGCATCTCCATCAGAACGAGTCGTGTTCGGCTTGCCAGTGGCTCCACGAGCCGCCAGAGCAGCAGCGGTAGCCGCAGCGGCCTCCTCTACTGTACCAGTGTGGTGGTTTTGATGTCTGGTCAGGGTAGTACGGCGAGTGAACGTCTTCTGACAATCGGCATACGGGCACTTGTACGGACGCTTGCCGGAGTGGATACGACGGTGGCGGGCCAGAGAACTGCTGTCGCTGAAAGGCTAAGGCATTTGTTAGCACAAGACAGGATTCCTCGTTGGAGAGTCAGCTTACCTTGCCACAGCGCTCACACATGTGAGGCTTCTCTCCGGTGTGGACTCGCTGATGGACAGTGAGAGCAGATCGCTGGATGAACTGCTTTCCGCAATTGGGGAAGTCGCAAACGTGAGGGCGGATTCCGCTGTGGATGCGTTCTGGAAATAAAGGTTAGAGATGGAATTTCACAGATCAGCATACATAACATACCGTGACGGGCAAGATCACTTCGGCGAGCAAAGCCCTTGCCGCATGTGCTGCACGGATAAGCCTTGGTGGGCTGCTGAGGTGCCTGCTGCTCGGGTGCCTTGTATTGAGGCATGCCCTGAGACATATCATGCTGAGGGATTCCGGGCAGGATTACAGGGCCGGGTCCCATATGGGAGACAGGCATCTGCATCTGCATCGGAGCGCCGACCATGGCACTGGGTGAAGGGTAGGAACGCGGGACGCCTTCCATTGTGTGACGGGAGTGTTGGGAGTATTCGGAGCCGTGGGGAGAACCGGCACGGTCCATCGGTGGTTCGGGCATGTTTCTCGCGGTGAGTTGGGGGAGTTGATGCATTTGACGTTCGGGAGTAGTTCCGTTGTGAATGTGTTGCATAGCGGCGGCACCTCTTTGATTCATCAAGTTGCCAATGTCCATTACCTCGCCTGGAATAGGCGACCTCATATTACGGCGAAGAAAATCGCTAGCAATAGTCGGGATCCCTGCGTGGATAGCCAGCTTGAGATATGTTTTCGGACGACTCTCCGCGTCAGGCGAAGGTGACTTTGAGTTTATAAAGACTGCGCTGTCTAGAGAGAAGGTTGTTAGCGTGATAATCTTCCCAGGGGCGAAGACTCTGAATATTGGAGGTGCGTGACGGCGAGTTTTTTGGGGGCAGCACATCGCCACGGGTGGGAGCGTTTGAGCAGCGTCCACAGGCAGGGTTGTGTAGAGTTCTCCAGGGCGGGGGTAGCCTGAGTTGGGCTGTGGCATGACTAGGTGTGCCAGGAGTACCCGGCGGCGGGCTATTTGAATCAGACTGACGGGTTTCGCTCGCAGGCTTACCTTGTGCGGATGATGGATGAAATCCGGGACAGACCGATCACAGATCACAGACCAGTATGTTGCTCGTTCTCGAAGACTAGGCTTGAGCTTCGCCTGGACCGTACTGAAGAATTGACGATGTGATGATCAATCGGATCTCTAACAGGAATGCTCGTTTGATCGGTTGTGTTTTTGGTGATCCGAGATATATAGCGATCTCCAGCGTCGTCACAACTCAGTATCGTGACGTGGCGCAATAGAAAAATTTGTCTGTCGAAGGCACAGCCCACCACATATAACCCGGGAAGTCACGGGGTCAAGACGTGTGCTGATCGCTTGTCGTATTTGAGGAAAGGATGGGGATGCCTTTCTTTCGGATATGCGTGATTGAGCCGACGGGTGACGGGAAAGGAGAATGAGAGGGATAGTCAAGGTATAGAGGGCGGCTCAGTCGATATGATCTAGATGACGCGCCACTAGTTAGTGATCTCGTCGGCACCTAACAGTAGACAATCGAGAGAAAAGGTTGATGTGGCATGCACAGCAGAGCATGTGCGAAAGCCAAAGGATGAGTAAAGAGGAAGAAAAAAAAAGGACTGGTGCCTCCGGACCGAGGGCTTGACCAGTTGTGTCGAGAGAGATGGGTGGGTGTTTGTCAAAGTTCGCGTGTAGGAGGTCTCGGACGAGAGATGAGGTAACAGGGGCCAAGAAACCTTGATCGGGGGTGCAGACGGTCCGGCAGGGTTAGGGAAGGAAAAGTGGGTCAATGAGGAAAAGCGCGGGAAAAATTGCTGAAGCAGCACCTGGCATGAGAAGCCAGGGCAGCCACAGCCAGGAGGCGCGGCAGGTGAAGGTGCAGGGTACGTATCGTTTGTGCAGCAACTGGCCAACAAGCCCGTCGACACAGCCACAAGAATGGAAGACGCGGTGACAAAATACTTTCGGTTGACTAACGAGCGGAAGCAAGGTGAAGCCAATAATAAAACAACAAGTGGTGGTTTTACAGAGGGTGAAAGGGAAGCCTCGGTCTGGGACTCGACATTGGCCTCGAAGCGTAATGACGAGGAGTAGACGGCAAGGGATGGCGTACCGGTATGCGAATGCAAAATGAGGATAGGGATAGATGAAAGGGAAAAAATATGAAGCTTCGACTTACTGCAGAGAGTGAGAGCAATGGGTATCTCAAGGATGACTATCGGTAGGCGTAGGGGAGTTTCTTTTCTGGGGATTGGAGATGGGAACGTTGCCCGTCGCAAGGAAATGGAGGAATGGGACAAAAATGAAGAAGAAAAAAGAAAGCACGGTTGACCTGAGTTTTGTCGGTGCTGCAGAGGCAGAGGAAGGGTATGAATATGTATGGAGAAGGAAGTCAAGGTGAGAGGAGGGAGCAAGGTGGTGGTGTAAGGTCGGCCCTTGGCTTTTTGGCGTTTGGGTTGCGCGTTGGCGCTGGCGTTGGCGTTGGCGTGCAAAGGGTCGAGTGAGGGTCGAGGGTCGAGGGTTGTGTGTGCGTTGTATGGGAAAGAGCAAGGGGGAAAGGTGAAGGGAAAAGAAGCTGTGACGCAGCAAGCGGAGCGCAGACAGGGACGGACGGACGGGGTTCGGCAGGTGTTATAAAAATGTCAACCACGGAGACGATCCTTTTAGTGAGACCGGGGGGGAGATGGAAGAAAGGAAGGAATAATGGAAGGAAGGGGGGAGGGGTGTGCGATGTACCTAGGGGCACGGCACGCACAGCACACGCAGTACGGATACAGCTTGCTGTTACTGGGCCTGTCCGTATTGCTGCTCCTGGCCCCTACTCCTGTTCCTGCACCTGAGGGACTGGTGTGGTTTGCGTAGTAAAACGGATCGGTGAGAAAAAAAGAATGGGGTCGATACGTCGAGTCGTCGAGTCGAGTCGGTACACAAAGTATCCGTACGGTAAGGTATGTATGACTGGTTTGGCTTTTGCGTTGTTGTAGCTTGCTGGATGGGTGGGATGGATGGATCGAAAGAGGGCTGGCGTCGGAATCCTTATTAATCTTATGAATCGAACAATGTCGTTCGGATACGCAGGTACGAAAAGAGGTAGACGGATCAGACTATGGATATGAGAAATTGGAAAGAAAAAAAAAGAGGAAAGAGGACAGCGTGTAATATGAGTTTCTTGCATGCAAATTGGGCGAACATGTACCTTTGCTGCTTGACCCATTGCTCACACCACGCAACCACGCCTATCAGTACCTACCCTACACACATCTCTCACAAACCTCAGATACCAACCGTCTCTATTCGTAAGGTACAGACGATGTCCTCACACATCACACTCACACATGGACTTGCGCACACACGCAAAACGCACGTATCGTCAGTCTTGGAACAAGAAGAGAGGGTACATGACATGTCGAGAACCAGAGAACGCACCCTCCCCCCAAGTCAGGTCAAGTGAGATCCCAAGTGCGGAAGCTTGGTGAATTGAAACGAACGGTTTAGCTGGGACAACTGGGGGCCATTGACGCTGAAGCAGGAACGAACGGGGGTGCGAGGTAAGGTACAGAAGTACATGGGTACGAAGGTACAAGGAGACTTCCAAATGGAACACACTTCACGCTCAGCACTTTTGCAAGGCACTTGGATACTTGGGTACTTAGGTAGCGCATGGAGACAGACAGCCATCATGCTAAGGTAAGGTACCGCAGCACCCACCTAGAGGTCATGAGGTACTTTCTAGGTCGGGTCGGGCTGGTGTTGCCGCATGGAAAGAGCAACGACACATGAACCGATTATGGGTAGGTACGAGGGTGCGTGCGGCCTGCCCCCTTCCAGGTTTCCCTTGTTGTCTTGGAGCTCTCCACTCGCCCCTGCACTGCTGGTGTACCTTCCTCGCCCTTTTCTCTCTCTTTCTGCGTCGCCCCATGTCCTACTGCGTAAGGTACTCCCTCTCTTTCCCATCCTCTCCCTCTCCTACCTTACCTTGGCCGGCACCGGCTGTGACGATGTTCAGAATATCGAGGTACCTTGAAGTGTGCCTGCCACCGACTGCTCTAGCCGTACCTTGCCGATGCACGGTGTACACAGAACAGACAGTGCGAGGCCGATCTTGTCTCTTCGGCAAGTGGAAGGGGGCTCCAGTGCTCAGCTTCCCTGCCTCTGCTCCACACTGCTGGGCCTGCTCAACCTGGAGTCGGCGGCGATCGTCTCTGTGCTGCCGGTTGGGCCACCGCCGACCTCCAGGGGCTGTGACCATCTTACGAGCTCTACCTAACTATGCGTGAAGCAACCGTTTATCCTGCGCCTTCCATTTCCCATGCATCTCTTATGGATACCTTAGAGGAAGAGAGAAAGTGACGGCATCAACTTCCCCTGGACAGATTTGCAAGGCAACGCTAGACGCAGCGGCTTGCCAAGGTAATTGACTTGAATGGCAAGTGTCAGTGGCCAGAAAGAGACACTGCCTTGCTCCTGCCCCTGATGCCTCTCAACACATGTACATCGTGTGCCTTTTCCATACAACAGGAGAAGAAGTACCTATCACGACACCGCACCTTCTTCACTGTGAAGTACAGAGTAGAACACTCGTACGGATATGAAGCGACAACTCCATTCAACGTCCTGCTATGCTTTCATCCCATCCGATATGCCTCCTGTTCTGCTTCTTCTCAAGCTGTCTTCTGCCAAAGCCCTGCGGCTGACTTTTCGTACTGGGGTGCCATCGACAGTTTGCGGCTGACAGCTTGCCAACGCCGACGGAGCATCACAAGGCCACTGCCCTCGAGTCTCAACACCATCAACACAACTGACAAATGGGCCCCGACAATGCAGACAAACATCACGCTCGTTGTCAGACCAATCTGCACGCAATGCATCATCAATGGACGAAAAGGGGAATAGGGGACCATCTTTCATCACTCGAATCCGCTACCGCTGTCACCTCCGCTGCTCATCATCATCACCCTCAGCCCGCCGCCATGCAGACGCAAAGTAATACTGTACATGCATCCAACTCTCAAACTTCTTCGACCCCCTTCTTTTCTTCCATCCTTCCACACAGCTCAGGGGTGCCTCGCCAAATCGACAGGCCTTGCTGCGTACCTTACCTTACCGATACCTCCCGGATGCACACAGTATGCCTCCGGCTGCCTGGCAGCTGCCCTCGCCTAACACAGACCCCAGCAATGCTATTTGGCTTTTCTCTCGTTTTGCCTCGTCATCATCAAACAATCGGGTTATTTCTGCCATCATCTCCACCCCGGTAGTGGGTCGCTCCTCTCCCACTCAGGAGCGAGAATGGCACATCCAATTTACCTTTCGCAACCCCACATACAAAACCTACGATAGGGCGGACCAGGGGCTTGGGTGCTCGCATGTGTTTCCTTTGCCTCGAGAGTCGGGAGTCGAGAGTCAGGTCTTGCCTCCCCTCAAATCGCTTTTCCTCCGGTCCAGCACTCGGCCAAGCTGTGTGGCAACCTAGAGAACTCACTCTTGCGTTGCTTTCTTTCGAATTCGATCAATCACGTTGGGTCAATGATGAACGACAAAATGTCTTCGTCCTCTTAGCCAGACACGTATCAACCATTGTGTATTCGGCACCGCACGCGAATATGCTGCCCGCCTATCGATGACTACGTCCGCAAGCAAGCATCTACGGAGTGCTCCGTATGAGCCGCTACCCAGCAGCACTCAAAGCTCATCAGATAAGCTAGACTTGGCGGTGCTTTGACCCTGCGCCGGACGAATGTTCCAAAGCTTCCATTTGGTCACTGCCCTTCTCGATTGGGCAGTCACCGTTGGCGCTGGCCGAGCACCCTCGAGCGTACGCTGTCAATGAGGACAGACAGAGTGTGGTCAAAGCCACTCCATTTCGCAACGCCATTGCGCTGCAGTACAGATACAACAATACGGGTTCCAAGACTGACTATACAACTGCCCATCCACTACAAAGTACCTCGCGAGTCCAAATATCCACCCTTGCTCTCCAATGGCGAAAATTACAGATGGAACACTGATGGTTGACCGCACCTCTTCTCACCACTCATCTCCCACCACACTCATCAAGAGAACCCGCGACCTAGCCGCCTCAGATGCTGTCGCTTCCCTCTTGTTTGCGTTGACTTCCTCTTGGCGGCCGCTTCTACAAGTTCCATTAATTATGCCGGGCTGCAATGTTACGGCAACGAGGTGCAGAGTGCCATCCAATGAACGCTCGGACACCTCCAAATTTGCTACTACCCTCAGAGCACGTATCAAAGTCGCGAAACAAAGTTACGCTGGAGCTGTTTGAACGACCCCCTGCTTGTTATTTCTTGCCCATTCCTATCCGGCTCTTGTCACTGACGTTTAGCGCACAGCCAGGTTTTACGCCGTATGGATGCCTTAGCATGGCCAATCTCGATCCAAGGGCCCTGTAAAAGGTGCGAGGGTGCGACAGTACAAGGTGCAGGGACTCCCGGCTGCTCCGCCATACCAAAGATTCAAAGGGGCATGGTCGTGGAAGGGCTCCATTGCTTCTGGAAAAGATTGGCTGTTTGCCAAAAACTCTGTGGACAGCCGTGTCGATGTCGATGCAGAGGCCCGACAATCAGGCACAAGCGGCTCGAGGTTGACAAGATGGTTTGGCTGATGCCGTCACCGTTGTCATGTGCCCAAATTATTGGAACCGGGGTCTGCCCACGGCTCTTGGGATGACAAACAGATTGGCACATCGGAAGAGAGACAGAAGGACAACAGTTGAATAACTTGCAATGGGTTCTTTCTCAACGTCCTCGATGGTTGTCGTACCGCTTGCTACCCCTCAGTTTTCGTCTTTATTCTTAACTGAATATCTCGGAAACCTTTGGCGACTCTGTGCGTCTCTGGCCCTGTATCCGTATGTCTTTTTCAAAGTAACAAAGTGCTACATCGACTTTCTCGAGCTCCAAGGGCGAATATTTCTACACGCTAACGTTCGGTAGCGTAGGGAATAATTAAAACCCAGAGTCGAGTGACGCGACGGCCGTACGTCGAATAATTTCTCCTCGGATTGGTTACCCTTGACCGAAGCCCTGCATTGGCATCACCTAACACGGGCAAGCTCATAACAAATATGCATGGCTTGCGATGTCCTCATAGTTGTCACGCGTAAAGGTACAACAACGACGTCGACGACATCAAGACGCAGGTACCGTCTGTTTAGCGACGACCTTCATGTCCCAGGACTCTACCACTCTTAGGGCCGCCCTTTGCGCTAAGGACAAATGAACATCAGAGCTAGGGAGCAATGGCCAAAAAGGGGTGTTGCCAGCATCTCTGACCGAAACCCACAGGGATGTGAGCACAAACCTGGCGCAAAGTTGGGTGCGTGGGGAGGCCTAGTGGCCCTCGCATGCAGCCGGGAGATTGATGCTAGGCCTAGCGGGGAAGGTTTCCAGAATTCTTCTAGAAGGCATCGACGGCGTGTGAGCCGCCGTGGAATTACAGCTGCGTCAAAGGGATGGGCTGCGCCGCCGTCTCGCCGCTTCATCTGCGACGAGGGTGGGGTGCTCGATGTCAATCTATCCCTGGAAGGCCTCTTTCTTCTCTCCACTCCTTCTGGAATACTTCGAGAAGGTTGGATGAATACAGGCCCCCCCGGGTAATTGGCCAACGAGCACAAGATTACACGGACTTTCTGCTGCACAAGGCAAGGCCCCAGAGCCAGGCACCTTGTGTCGTATCAGCCTTGAACCGGGGGGCACTCGCGCGCGCGGACTGGGGGCCCGTCTCTCACTGGCCCATTGGCTTTACCGTTATTGGGATCCATGGCAAAGGGGCGTGTGTCAAGAACGGGCCTTGAGGCCTCAAACACGCCGTTGACAGCGCGCCGAGGGCTTTGGACGTATGTTTGTCGCCCTGGCCGCCCGTTCGAATGCTCGCATGGCTGCCTTGACTTACGAACGGGACAGCCGGCTGCAGAGTAGGGTTGGATGTTGAAGGACTGGACGATTTGCGATGCAGTCAGGCTCGCCGCATGACCAGCGTCAAGCATCAGGCGCCAGAGCACTCACGAAAAGACACCAGACTGGCAGATAGGACCTTGTCGACCACAGTCAAGGTGATGTCCTGCGGCTCTGTTCCCGAAAGCTCAGACTGATTGAAAGGCCCATTGACGGCCGGCCCTCTGCGGATTATTACACACAGTACCCGTACCCGCCTCGTCAGGGCTCAGCTCAGGCACGGGCGCATCACGGCATCTCCCAGACTCCCACGGCTGAAGCAACCCACGGCTTATTACAACCGTCATGCATGGTCCATGGGGTGGTCCAGGTGACAAGGTCTTTGGACTAGCGAGCCTCAGCGGAGATTGCCGCAGGCGACTTTGAACAACGATTGTCTGTGCGAGCCGTCCAACTACGGTTACAGACAGCCCAATCTGTCGAAGCTCACGAGCTTTTGGTGGCATTGACCCCTAGTCCCCCCAAACTCTTGACCGCAAAGAGGTAGGAGAGCTAGCGCACGACTGTGAGTAGATCAATCGACGTGGCACGGACGATTCAAGATTAAGAACAGGCGCAAAAGCAGATGAGCGAAGCGGTCAGCCAGAGGCAGGAGACTCTGCTGAGGTGTGCTGTCAAACGATTAGGTGACAAGGTACGGATATACAGAGTACCGTGCCTCGCCTCAGCTTAGTGCTCTGTAGTTTGGGTGAGGTGAGTTGGTTGCGGGCAGTCTGCAACCAAATTGGTGCATCGCGCCTCGTCCCAAACGGCAAACATGAGCTAAATCGTGTGTGTACGACTCAGTCTGCGAGGCGTGTCGGGACAATCTGTTTCAGAAGATATGCCCAGATTGGTCGCCATGCACTAGTGGTGACGAATACAGGTTGAGTGTATCTTGCATGTTTGCCAGCTGATGGAATTGGGACCCAGGTCGAGTCTTGGGCGGTAACGAGTTGGATCCGACTCCATGCTCTCTGTGCTTGCGCATCGGCATGCAGATTGCCGTTGCATCATCAGCAGCAACGCGGGCATCAACACAACCCCTGACCACTTTACAATACGGGGAGCTCAAGGACCGACGCTAAAGCGAGATGCCTCACTTCTAGCGCAAATAGCCGTCGCTAGACACATCGGCAGCGGCTGGCAAGGGATGGAAGATTGGCGTGCGCCAACCGCCTGAGCTTGGAGGCTTGAACAGCTTCCATGATTGTTCCATGCAGGATTCTTTTCTATTCATCCTTCCATGGAGGATCACTTACGATTGTGCTACGCGACCCCTGGGCTTACTACGGCCAAGTTTGTTCTCTAGTTCAACGGCGTTCCAGGTTCCTCGCCAGCAGCCAGCGATGCCTTTGGTAGCGGGAGAATTGTCTACTCTCAGGTAAGGGCGCTCATGTTTCCTTTGTATCTGTGTCTATACTGAACAATGGAGGATCCTCGACAGTCCAAGGCACTCAGGCAGCATGCAGTCCGCACACTGTAAAGCCATGACCGGACAGTGTGTCCGACTGTACGAACACGTCTAACGCTCTCGACCGCTGGGTGGACAGCTGCGGGGTGCTTGCTCCCGCAGTTGCTTGACCGTGTCCTGTTGCTGGCCTCCTTCGATACAGCGAGATTCAGCGGGATCTAGCTTCATGCCATGGGGCTATGGCCAGTGCCTGCCCCTTGCCTAGCAAGTTCTGTTCCATTTACACCTCGTCAGCTGCGGCCGGCAGGTGGTGCTTTTTACCCCGTGATGCGAAGTTGCGAACAGAGGGAGGCACTTGCAGGCCAAGCGCAAATGGCCTCTGCTCTTCCCTTTCCCTATACTCCGCAGATTGTACTGGTATCTGTGTCTGTATCCATATTGTCCTCTCACGGTCTCACCCCATTGACCAAACCCAAACAACTTCCCGTGCTCATGGATTCCTTGTCTGATACTTACCAGTCTTTTTAGCCTTGGCAGGCCTTGTCATGCTAGCAGCTTCGGTGAGGGCCGCGAAACCGAAGATCACGTCTATTTCCGTCCATTCTTTTTGTATCCGTACGCCTATTTCCTCAGGCGCCAAGAAGCAATAGGCATCGCGGTCGTCGACGACGGTTCAACGCATAAGTTCGCTCGAAGTAGCAAGACGGTTCTCGGACTCTGGAAATTGGCCCTTAACGATTCGACATCGAAGCCAGTGATGCGCGCCGACACCCTGCAATCGGGCCTCCCTCACTCACGGATATACGCGTGACACGGAACGACCTGACGTCCGTCACCACCCTTCAATGCAAGAGAAAAAAGATACCCGTCTTCTAGCTAGATGTCTCCCGTGCCGCACTGGGGACCGTCGGGCCTGGCACAGCAGACGAACACTGGGCCTGATCACCACCACGATCAGCGGATAACCCATCACATCTACCGTACCCAGATCAATGCCCCGCTGAGAACCGCCCCCAATCACCCAGGTATCCGTCTAGACTACGGAGTTCAGAGCGGTGTACTCCGTATCTTCAATTGATGCGGCAGAGACTTCAAGAAAGGCCAAGCCTCGGTCAGTCTGACGTCCACCCAGGGGAATGTATTGTGGCGGATACACATGTCAGCCAACTGGATGCGTCCCGCCAGCGAGCTAGTCAGGATAAAAAAATTTCAGACATTCACCACGAGGGTATAACCAATAGTTGCGCCCCAGGCCCTCAATCGCAGCCACTGCGAGCAGCAGTTTGAGTACCTAATCTCTCTCCATCAACGGACGCTCCGTCGAGATACTTTCGTCCATTTCCGCAGACAACCACCTTATTTTTTTATTTTTTATCTTTCGATCTGGGCATGAAACGCCCGTGCCGAATCGTGGCCTTTGGGAATCTCGACCACTGTCAGTCGCAACACCAACCCGTCCCTTCATTGGCACGACACGGGGAGGCGCTAGCTTCGCCTTGCGTTGCTTGCCTTGCCTGGCATCGACCAGGAGAGGGCGATGAGTTACAACGTCAGGTCAAGGCTCACTGGCTCAGGAGTCGGGGAGTGCCAGACAAGGCTCCGGCAGTTGAAGGGATGTGCATGTTAAATCTCGTTAGACCCACTCACACGAGGAGACTACGTCTGTTAGCTAAACTTAGCTGAGTGGGATGAACTGAATCCGAGATGACCGCCGGCCGGCTGTGTTACGCTGTCTTTGTGTGTTCCTTGAAGGGCACAGTTGCACTCGAGAGCTGTCAACCGCTCATGGCCAGGCCTTCATCAATGCTTGCTCCATGAGGGTTTGATGGCTATCGTCAAATTATAGAGTCGCAAAGTTCAACATTATGGCCCGCCCGTTGGCCGTTCTGATCCCCAGCAGCCACCACCATCAAGAACAACGGAGCCACCCCAGACAGAAGCGCACACTCCTCTTCGCTGGGGAGACGGTGATGCATGGACACTTTCCTCCCCGGGTACACAATGCCTCAACGATCAAAGTCCAGGATTCGTCAACCATAATGGGCAACCCTTGACATGCTTTTCTGCTGGACCACTCTGCGGCGGTACCGGCATTTCCGCTGTTCCACTATCATCCTGGCAGCAAGGCAAAAGGTCGACACACCAGAATTGTCCAAATCCACTGGTATTCAGCAGCTACATCCGTACCCGTACAGTTACAAAGCACTTTCATGAGGCCGCGGCAAAGGCCTGGCACCCCAGTAATGATCCCTTCGTACAAAGCCATCTTGCAGGTGGGAGGACAACTCGTCGCGGGCAAAACGCAAAGAAAAAGATACAGAGCAGAGATCGGCAGGCAACGCGTCCAACTTTTGCCGCTCGGGGATGGAAACGTCACACTGGCTGCACACACACACACACGCACACACGCACACACGCGTCTGATTCTTTTTCCTTTTCTTCCATTTGGCTTCTGGAAGGTATCGACGGCGCCGCCGCCGCCGCCACTACCTCCCATAGAAGTCGCCTGTTGACGAGTCCTGGCTGGACTGTAGGCTGTTGACCTCCACCTTGGGCAGCATTGGGCTCTCAACAACGGTCATCTCAACCTTCGTCTCTTCGTCCCGTCCAGGTGCCCGGGGGGCGAATTGATCGCTGAAGCATCTTCAAATTCTGAAACCACCATCAAAGGTTCATTCCGGCCGAATGGCGAGAACTGAGTCAAGAATCCTCAAACTTCACAGGTTGAGCCGCTTGCTCCACACCCTCATCGGGGCCGACGGCCGCTGGGAGATACCCACCTCCCTCTTCCAGCTCATGGTACGAATACAGTTTGCTCTCTGTCGTAAGCGTGGTGCAGCGGTCATCAGACTTGCCAGTATTCCTTGGATCAAAAGGCAAAAAAAGATAAAGAACAAAAAAATGATATTGAATCGATATGATTCCATGCCAGGATTGAGCTGCTGAATCCCTCCGGATTTTCAAATACGAGGCTATCATGCCTACACAGACAGCCTAGAATGCGACCCATCTGTGCTGTTCGGATGAAGAAAGCCTCAAAGGTCGAATATCAAGCTTTGCCTCGCTCCATCAGCCTTGCCTTTGACTTGCGAGCGAGCGTCGTAGCGTCTCTCATGGGCCTTGCGTAACGGTACGGGCTCCAGCGGGGAGATCCATGACGATGGCTCAGCTAGAAAGGCTGCCTGATCTGGCCTGACTCTGCGCGGTTTGGCCGCTCAACAGGGAACCTCGATCTTGCGGGAGCAATGCCGATCCCGGTCAGCCTGGGTCGCGTCCGTCCGGCTGGAATCATCGACATCCGACACCATGGTTCACCCGTAATTACCGAGTAATTCGATCAGTCGGATGAGCGAGTCTGGGGGCGCTCAAACCACCCGAAACCTGCAAGAAAACACACTCGATGCGCTTTGTGCCTACAGCCCTTCGACGTCGCCAGACGAAGGGCATGTTTGTGTTCGAGAATGAGGACCCGGCCGCAGGACTCGTTGTTCCGAGGCGCGTGCGGCAGAAACGTTGGCCCTTCCGCACCAGGCTGTGCCACCTTCATGCTTGGATCAGGTTCCAGGGTTTGGCTTGACGTTGCCGAGCGGCCGTGGGCATCTGCCAATTCTCCGAGGCCCGCTGTGACGGTCCAACGAAGGTTCCGGGCACATCCTCACCAAAGCACTGAGCTCAGTCAGGGCTGCATTTCGATATTCTTTTCCCGGTTTCCTCGTCGCTCAAGGAGTCGTTTGACGACGAATCAGCTTCCCGTGGTGCGGTTTCCCAGTCAGACCAGCAGGTGTTGCAAGTCACCCGCCAGACAAGTCCCCGATGTGGCTAGAAAAGGCGAGACATCTGCACTGGGGTCAACCGCAGCTCCGCCAATAAGCAAGACTTCGTGACCCCTAAAATGCCCCCTTGATGGGATAACGCGAACTGGCGCAGGCGGTTCAAGTGCATCATCAGTCCTTGGCCATGAAGGAGCATTCTCGTCTTTGAGTCGTGTCTCCAGGCCGGTCTCAACCGGACAAACGATAAGCTTGGGGATTTGCAACCACCCAGGGTTACATTCCGCGGTCGATCTCCACGACCGCAAAGACCATCAAGAGGCCTTGCGTTGTTCGTCATCTCCCTACGGATACTAGGCGGACCGCTCCGTAAAGCCAACCCGGAGCCGGTGCGTAGTGCCCAAGGACGGCCCAGAAACACACAGACCAATCGTGCCGAGTAAACGTGTTGCGGCCGGACAGGATTGACCACATCCGTATGAAAGGGGCACCTGTAACTCGTCAACTTGGCTTTGGAGAGGCTGCAAGTGACACTACATGCCTATCGATTGCTTTGGCCTGCCATTCTTGAGAATGGAGGCCTGATACGTTGCATCAAAACCACATGTGAGAAACCTACTGATAGATCCGCGGTGCATAGGGGACGGGAAATGAGGCGTTGAGACAGTCGAAGCTCGGTGAAGATGCGCTTTTTAATTAATACGATAACTCATCCCCCTTCTGAACGGGGAGAATCATGCGAGATAGCCAGTCATATCTGCGACATTGAGACCCACGAAACCCACCTCCCCGGTTATAAAGTCTCGAGAGATGAGTCCGACGTTTTTCATCCGGGGAGCGATGTGCACCTTTTGACCTACGTGGATGGCAGGCTAGGTTGACCGAGCTTATGGGCATGGCTGTCAAATGTGCGGGATGTCAGCCCGATTCGACAGTGTCTCGATCGATGAGCCGCGGGGTCGCGTCGGATTCGCCCTTTTGTCTTGACCGAGGAAAGGATATCGGCCGGCGGCCATCCATCCTACCCATTCTCCCAGCAGGCCAGCGAGCCAGCGCATATGCGAGAGTGTTTCTTGCGCCATTCGGATCCAAAACTCATTTTCGCCCCATCATGACCTCTTGTGAAGTGGAATCTCGCCATACTTATTTATCCGCTGCATAGGCAAACTGCAGGACCAATTAACCAGGTGCCGCGTCTTTGCCCTGAGAAACCAACATGCAGGCCCAGCAACATTGTAATGTTTGTGGGTGTCAGTGGGACAGCGCACAATGGCCAGCGTTTGTGACCCAACAATAGGAAAGCAGAAGTGCGGAACTTCGGTCGTGCTACCCGCCTCCGCATGATCTACGCCGCCGAGCTCTTTACCTTTTCTCTCCGACGACCCCCGAAACGGCCCCGGTCCTCACTCCTTTTTCGCGTTGACTGCGACCCCCGCGTTGCGGCGTCGGTGGCCACCACCACCGCCCCTTGTCCAACCACACACCTTTGGTCTTTTTCTCGTTTCTTTTGGAACGCCTTCGTTGTCTTGTCTTTTCCCCTGACTTGGGTTGATTCGGTCCCATCCAACCGGTCAAGGAACCAAAAAAAGGTGACGTTTCCGAGGAAGAGGGTGACGCCCTTGTCGCAGGATGGAGGAGGAATGAGACAAGAGGAGGGCCGCGCCGGACCTAGCGTGGCCCTGTCATTGAAATGTCAAGGCTGTCAAATGAGCCTGGCTAACTGGGTTTGCCCAAGCATGAACAGGAGAGACGTCTCATCGGGAAACGTACCCGTCCACGACCACGACGAGGCGTGGATTCCACATCTCACCGACGATCGACGGGCTGGAGAAAAGGTAGGTACCTTTGGGCGTTGCATTCTTGTTTGCCTGTCTGACTTTTCTGTTTGGGCTGTTCAGCTGCTCAAGCTGCTGAAACCCTTTTAACCTCTTTTCGCAGTCGGCGATCGAGTAACGTCAAGGCCAAGGTCAAGGGTAGGGGTTGCTTGGGATCACTTGGTGTAAGTCAGGGATTGGCACTTTGTCTTGAATCATCAGTGGTATTTCTACGTGCCTGCATCATTCTCCTTCTCCTCGTGGCTACCACCCAACCAGAGAGAGAGCGAGGGCCGAGTGGGATATGGCTTCAGGTGGGCAAACACCACCGCCTACCTCGCTCGGCGCGCTTGTGGATATATGTGTTTGCCAGAGGAGAGGCGTAAGGAGAGACTTCCCATGCCCACCCCTCCCCTTCCCATCCACTCAAATATCGCAGGTCTTATAATGAGGATGAGATGAGATGAAGGGGACAGGGGGTTCAGTGTGGGTTTAAGGGAAGGGAAGGTGCAGAAAAACGTGAATAACGGCATGCTCTTGATGACGAGTGATTCAGGAGTTCTTCTCTGGGGGTGGCAGAAACCTTGCGTCAGTCGAAGAGGGAGATTGTGTATAAAAGGCATCGACTGGGAGCTCCATCGTTTGAGCTTCTTCCCTTTTTTACGAACACTCATCAACTTCTACTCTACCCCCTACACAAAAGTCACACTGTTCCTGTCCATTGTCATTGCCATTACTTTCACACATTTCAACCACCCGTTTCCTCACCGACATTCGGAACCCACGTCATTCTCGTCGGGAAAGAACGGGAGAAACGTCAACCAAGACGGCAACCTGCAGTACCAAAGCCGACAACCCCCCTTTCAAATCTCCTGTCCACCTCAAGTCACAAGAAACAAGAAAGGAAAGAGAAACGGAAAAAACAACAACAACAATGGCACCCCAATCAAAAATGGTCAACATGCCCGCTCACGGCAGCGTGCTCGACATTGGCGGCGGAAGCATGTCCTCCGCCATCCTCGAGGACCTCCAGCGCGTCTTTGCCGTGGCCGCCAAGCACGAGAATACCGGTATTGGCGGCAGCGTCGAGGTCCCAACCATGCCCGACGAGCTGCTGTACAACGATGAAGGGCTGGCCATCTGGGCAGAAGTCATCTTCACCCCCGAGTTCTATCAGACCCGCGACGAGATGGTCTTGTTCGAGAAGAATAGCGAGGAGATGGCGACCGTTTACATTCCCAACGACGCTACCATGATTGACTTGGGAGCTGGGTAAGATTACTCCCTTCATTGTTTATATTTGACATGTTAGGGTAATGATTACCTGCTGATTGATTTTCTTTTCTTCATCTACAGTGACATGCGCAAGGTCAACTTCCTCCTAAAAGAACTTGCCAAGCACGGCCGCAACGCCACGTACCTCGCCCTCGACATCTCGAACCACTCCCTCACCTGCAACCTCGGGGCCCTTGCCCCTGAGCACGCGGCCGGCAGCGTCCGCATGGCAGGCCTTTGGGGTGACTTCAAGGCAGGCCTCGCCTTCTGTGACGACATTCCTTCTCCTAGAGTCTTCCTCTCTCTGGGCTCCGTCCTCTTCAACGACCCTTGGAAAAAGGCTGTCACCTCGCTCCGTGAGTGGGCTGCCCTCATGCGCCCAGACGACCTCATCCTCGCCGGCATGGACGGCCACGACGTCACCTCGACCAAGGTCTGGGCTGCTTACCACACCCACCCCGCCCTGTTCGAGAAATTCTTCCATAATGGATTCAAGCACGCCAATGTCCTCCTTGGTGAGGATGTCTTCAAGCCCGAGGACTGGGATATCTGTGGTGAAATCGAGGAGGATGAGAAGCGCCATCGCTTCTTCCTCAAGGCAAAGCGCGATGTTGTTGCCGAGAAAGAGGGCAAGACGCTGAAGCAGGGTCTCGAAATCGACTGGTTCGACGCTCACAAGCGCAACGAGGAGGACGTTCACAACATGTGCGCCGAGGCGGGCCTCGAAGTCGTCAAGTCGTGGGCTATTGAGGGTTCCGACATGCGACAGTACCTCATACGCACTGCTGCCATTGAGAACTCCATTGACGAGACGGATAGTGCCATCTACGTACGCGGGGAGTAAACCATTCTCGGTAGCTATACAGGTACACTGTATGTACATAGAGGTAGACGTGTGGTCCTGATTCTGATCTCTCATAGTGTGAGGATGGGGAATTCTTTCGGGGGCGGATGGACGACTCAAAACATGACGAGATGACGGAAGCGCACTCGATTCTTTAGAGGTACGATAGGTAACAAATGCTTGCATTAGAAAGCAAGAATTGCAAACAAAGAGTGCTCCAGAATGAATAGCATGAAGTATTCTGCGAAAATGCATCTCTCTTCCAAATGTTTGGTCATCAATGCCCCTATATTTCCTCTAGATCAAACACAAAGTTCCTTCGGTAGAAATAATGTGCGCCACGAGTGGCTCCCACCAGGAGTGTCGCTCTGAAATGAGGTCAGGAAGGTTGGAAGGAATATTGTCATCAACGTTGGCCGCTATCCAATGACGGATACGCAGAAGGGAGTTGAAAGCAGGGGGCACGCTCTGGGATATCTCTGGTTAGAATCTACACCAACTATAGGATTCTCATCACTTTACTTACCGAGCGACAACTGGTGCTGACGACCGATCGAAACCAGTTCAGGGCACAAAGACTATGTGCCTCTGTCGTGGCCACAATTCCTAGGAGGAAGACCGGGAAGAATGGAGATTGCGCAGTGAAGAAGGTTCCATAGGTTGGCATCATGTCAATGCATTTCACCAGCTGGTCAACCTCAGATACGACGTCTGGGTGAGAGCGAGGTAGTCTCTCGAGGCGGCAGCGAAGGTAGATGAGGGCCGCTAGACGCCATGCTTCGGCCGTGACTTCCGTCATAGATTCTGCGTCCATCACAAGGCCGAAATCGTTTCGCTTAATGCGATCTTCGATAGCGCGTTTGTCTGATGTATCTCGAGATTGATCCGATCGCGTTGTGGCCGAAGAGGACGGAGACTCGGCGGCGGGCTGTGTCCACTGATGCAATCTGCCCAAATCTTGGCGGACTATTTTGCTGCTCGATTTCATGTGAAAATCGTTGGTACTGGGGTCCTCCCACAACCATGCTGCCAATTTTGTAATCTGAGCAAAACGAGAAAGAAGTATCGGCGACATGCCGCATCCACCATGTATCCTGCGAGTCTCCGGCTCAGTGCCCTGGCACAGCCAAGAAAATTGCTCTCCTGTGTCTTTCGAATCAAGAGGAGCCATGGGAAGGGCTATGATGGCGGCCCTGGCGGCGATGATCATGTTGCCCATCTGCATGTCGGAAGGCTGAATGTTGGAGGGTACCCAGAAGCGATGACCCGGATCCGACTTATCCAGCAAACGACAAGCGAGGCGAGCACCTTCTAGCCAACGAGGAACCGCACTCGGCGGCCGACGTTGCTCTGGGGATACAACATCGATCATGTTTAGCAGCGTCACGGCGGCAATCAGGCTGTTTGACTCGTGTTCCGTGGGACTGGGATTCCGAGCCTCCTCTCTCAAAGCCATCGTCAAGAGTAGGACGGCTCGTTTATAGTGTGCATTGACTACCTGTCGAATGCTCTCTTCGGGTTGGTAATCGAGGACATATGTTCCAGCAAGCGCTAGCATCGCGTGCTTGACACAAGAGCTGTCCTTCATTATTCGGGGGATGTTGACGAGCCAGCAGTTGGTTTTGTGGAGGACACTCCGACCAGAACACCATGCCTTGACGTCTTGAGAATGTTAGCCATTCTCCATGTTGGCCAGATGTACCGAGACTCACAAAACTGGAAGAGATTTTTGTCACAATTGTCTTCAAGGCCTGCCTCGAATAAGAACGTTTGAGAACACAGTTCTGACAGGAGAGCCTGGGGATCAGACGGTTGTATCGCCGCCTGTCGACGCGGTAGGTTGGCTGCCCTCGACTTGCCGCTGTGGAACTTGATGTATCCATCAATAATAGTTCCGGCCTGAATGCGGGTTTTGCCCAGGACGAGACGATCCGCATCATCGGCGTTATCCTCGAAGGGATTCGTGAGGTCCAAATCCTCCGCCGAGTCGGCCTCTATAGTAGGGAGTCGCGGAGAGAAAATCACATCTGGCGGCGGGTGAGGAGAAACTGGTGGGCCATACGGTGCCCCATGTCTGGTCGATGTCGTCGACGGATCAGGGATTGCTAGTTTGTTGTTAGTCAAGGATTCGTCGGCAACGGTTCCTAAGACCTCGTGCTATCATCATCTATTCCTTCTTCTTCCATCCCTTCTCGTGTCTACCAGGAATCGCACTATACTGGATGGGAGCGGCACAGGCGGCTCAGGATAGGTAAAGAAATCCGTCCAGCTTACATGGCTTTGATCGTGCCAGGGGCTGGTCATCCTCAAGGGGTTTAGACAGTCGACGTCTTTGCCGGGGAGTGTTGGCTCCATGAGAGAACCATGGAAACTCGGAGTCTCCTACCGGGCTCCATATTTGGGAATCCTGGACATTGATGTTGGAGTTGTTGTCTCCAGGCGAGGGTGTAGAGGCAGGCGTCGATGAAGGTGTAGTTGTAGGGACAGAAGCGGAGGCTGTTGAATAGGAAAAGAGAGGAGGATCCTCGTCCATGGGCTGGCTTCTCTTCCGCGGCCTAGTAGCCATGACTGTCGCACCAAGCATGCCCTGGACGGGGAGGGACGGAAAGCAGCACGGAACACGGGATGCCCAAGGGCATGTACTTTGTCCGGATGGATACACGAGACCAGCGTGCCCAGGTCTGTCCACAGTCCAGAATGGAGGAGACGAGGTCGTGGGGGAGTGTGTGCACGGGTGCCGGGCGCGATAGTCTGATATTCAAAAGTGGATAGTGGTGGAGGGAGCGCTGCGAAGTCCCACGTCTGTGGTCCACGACAGGGCCAGGGGGGAGGTGAGGTCGATGTGGGACGCGACCGGGTATACCTTGGCTAAGAGCCTAAGGTAAGGGAACAGATGCGGAAAGTGGAGACAACGGGGCTGTTAACGTTAGCGCGAGCTCGGGGAGGAAGGAAGCGTGGACGTGGTGCAGGTCGGGTCGGATGAGGTGGGTCCTACCGGTAAGGAGGAAAGATGGGCCCAAAGGAGAGAACAGCACCAGCACGGTAACACCTGCCACCAGCACCTGAGCGACCGGCCGGCAGGAGCGGACGAGATTCTAGCAACGGCCAGCAGCAGGCCCTAGCAACGCGCTACTGTCAGGATGAACTCAGGATGCCTTCCCGCGCCCGCTAGCTGAGGAAAGAGGTGGAGACCAATGTTCGTGCACTTGCCTGCCACGAGATGAAGTAGGGGGGAAATGTGAACGTGAATGGAAGCGAATGAGAAAGAGCCAAGGTAGCTGTGGAAGGTAGAAGGAATGAAGTGGGGTGGCAGATGAGGCAACGCGACAATCTGCAAGTGACAAGAGACAAGAGACAAGAAACTTCCACAAAACTTGGTCGAGTGGACGGGAGATCGGGTGATGGAATGGGAGCTCGGATGGAAGTTTTCAGAGGCACAGAGCAAGCAAAGTTGTGAGTACACACGCCGCGCCGTGCGAGTGTCGCTCCAAGTGGTCGACTCCGCCGTGAAATCGTCCTGCGTGCAAGGTGCGTGCTGTCACCGGTACGGAGTACGGAGTACGGACTGAACGGAACCAAGGTGTTGGTGCTCTAATTTAGCTTGGTAGTTCTTGGTGATGGCTCCACTTGGACTGGAGGATGGTCAGAGCCAGAGTCAGTCGGACACGAGAAGTCTGCGTTGTCCTTTTTTTTTTCTTCTTGAACTTGGCCCGTTCTTTGTCCAACGAATCCGCCTACCAACTGAAATGCTGGCTGCTGGCTGCTATGATTTTGGAGGAAAAGGTAGATGGGTATCGAGAAAGTGCGGTATTTTGCTGAGACAAGACAATTTGGAATGCTGGCTAACGAGGCGGGTGCAATTTGGAAGATGTTACTGGATGCTCAATTTGCGGGTGAAAGTCTGTCCAACGGACGATTCGATCTAGCAGCCGTCGTTTCGGAACTTTAGATTCCAGATGATGGGAGGTAATTGGATATCGGTAAGTATGATCGAATTGCCAACTCGCCGAGTAAATCCTAATGCGCTGTTTCAACGTCTTTGGGCTTGGCTTGCAAAATACGGAGCGGACGGGGGCCGGCGTGTCTCCCGCGCGCAACGGAATGTTGTCTCTGCTAGTCTGTCTGGTCTAGAAGTCTCTTAGTTTACTCTAGTCGTTTGTTGTGGATTCAGGCAAGACGGCCACGGCGTTGTTGGGCTGATGTTGGAGCGGACGGGAGAGACAGCGGGAGCCCCCTCGATGTGCGGATAGCGCTGCGCCCAGAAAGAAAGACAAGGGCGAGGCGAGACGTGGAAGCGCCAGTGTGTAATTGAGGCTTGTCAAATGACCTGATGTGCCGGACGTGTCTTGATTTGGCGTCGAGTCCGTGATTTAGAGTTTCAACCCACTGGGACCTTCCCGCTCGTCGGATAGGAAGTCTGACGGCTTGCCGAGCCGAAGACGAGATGAGATGCTAGATGAGTGACCTGTGTAGGTTTCGTACCTGGCACAGAACGGAGCGCAGTATTTGCGTGGTCAGGTACGTATGATACTCCGTACGAAAAAAAGGTGCAATGTAGATGCAGTAGCCGTAGAGCCGAGTACCTTCAAGTAATCGTCATGTAAGCTGGCAGCTGAGCTGTTCGGGTTGCACAAGGCAAAGTTATCGTTACACCGCGATAGGTCGCCCTGTCTGCCTTGCCTTAGCGTGTCTGCGACTGTGACGCGATTCTTACATTCCTTCTGCCAACGTCTGCGCCTGGATTGGCATGGAAGCGAGAAAGGCACTGTTTAACTCCATCGTTTTGCATTACTAGAGGATTGCCGCAGTACATGTAGACGCTACCCTGCCCTCGAATTCCGCACTGTTCAACCTCAACCCTTTTCACAAGTCACCCATCCTTTCCTCCATTCCACCCTCTCCCTCGTCAAGGGATCGCTAGAATCGCAGTTTCGACAGCTTGTTGGTAGGCTGGTGTTACTGTCTGGAGGTAGGTAACCCACTCTTGTGCGTGGGCGCCGGGAGTCTTGCTATTGCGGAGATGGCGGTGGATGTGCCGGAGCACTCGAGAGAGCTTTCTAATAGACTTCTAATGCTGTCTAAGGCGATTATCCTCGAGCTGTAGGAGGAAGCCGAGGCGCCATATCGACACGGCCCTGTCCGTCTCGTTGGTGCTGATGATGCCCTTCTTGGCGTGGGACATGTTGGCGATGCTCTGCGGCCGCGTTGCTACGCTTCGTGGATCGTGCCTAACGTAGGTGAGGATTCTGGCGTTGTCCACTAGGTGTTTTGTTAAGGTCGTTATCGTGGGGTTGGTTTGGTTGTTGGTATCTTGGCAAGCATTTTAACTTAACTCGGAGGCTCTTATAGCTCTTGATGAGAGGCTTTTAAGGGACTCATAATCAGACTTTTCGCCCATCACGGGCGAAGCTATCACGGTTGAAGCCACAGCGATTGAAGCCATAGCGCTACTTGCGGACCTCGATAGTAGGCAGTCAGTAGTACAGTCATCTTTCTCTCATGGCAAGCTTGAAAAAGCATCTCAATTCAAGTGCTGGGTGGGCACTACACTGTTTTATTAAAACTGTATTCTTGTACTTGTGACTTAGAAAGAATTAACTTTCTTCGATAACAAGGTACTCAGGAAGCGAGAAAGGACGGCGGGGGAGGGGAAAGGGAAGAGACGAAGAAGAAATGGTCGAAGCAGCGGGGGTTGGATCCCTTGAACGAGGAGAAAGCAAGACTCAGGAGATGGGTCCAAAAGAAAAAGTGTGTGTGTGTGTGTGTGTGTGTAAGCTTCCGTGTGGATGTCCCATCGAGGGAGGGCACACCGACTGCGGTGCCCAAGCAACTAACATCATCTGAAGGAAGGTGTGACCCAACACGTGTGTCTCAATTGGCATCAAGCATCGGGACCACCTCCGAGAAGGCGACTGAGCGATGTGGTTTGACACACTCCACGTGACTGTGAGCGGTTGGAGGAAAGAGATAGGACCGGGAAGGAAGCGACTGAGGTGGGCAGTCGAATTAGATGGGTGAATATCTACTTACCCGAATACTTTGATCTTGACGTCAAGGACGGGAATGGAAGGTCCCGCCTCGATACCTAACCTTACCCCAGGTAGGTAGGTAGGTAGCTTAACGAGGCAGGTATAAAGGTACTCTGGTTAGGTCCTCTGAGGAAGGGGTCAAGAAGGATGGCGTTGGGGACCAGGAGGGCGATGCGGAGGCGGAGATTGTGGTGGAGGTGGGCAAAGGAGACAAGAGGAAGAAGGAGGCGACAACGACCTGACACGGGCAGTAGCGATGCCAGATTCTTTCCTCCCGTCACCAAGGCAAGGTACGGGTATCTGATCGGGCTCAGACTTCACACGCAGCAGATGCTGAAGCTGGAGCCCAAGGTAAGCTGGAGCTGGACCTCCACTGGTGACTGGACGTGGGCGCCGGAGCGGTGACGGACAAGAGAAGACTGCGACGGCGACTGCGACGGACTGCAACTTCGGGTGAAAGTGGTCCTTGCTGCGTGCGCATGTCACGCCAGGCGAACTCTAAGTCGGGGGTCGGGGGGTGAGCTTAATTCGACAACTCGGGACCCTTGGAGGCGCGTGTTTGGGAATGCGCGGTCAGGTAATTGTTCGTGTCGTTCTTTGTCAACCAGGAAGCAAGATGATGATGGATTATCATGGAAAATCACCTGAGGGAGTCCCATGCGCAGGTAAGATCAGGATGGAATGGATGGCATGTAGGTGGGGAGGTTGTCAAGAAAGCAGAAACCCGCACGTTCTCGAGAAGGAGACATCGAACAAGTGGACTGTCTTTGTGGCACAGCAGGAGAATCACACCCAATGCATTTTCCCAAATTGTGCGGTCACGAGTGGTGGACCCATGGGAACCAGCAAGACGCGGCAAGGTGAAGAAGCACCAGCCTCCAGGAAGGTACCTTAGGTAGAGAATGGAAGAACCTGAGGGTATCTGCAAGAAAAAGAAAGCATAGCAAGAAGGAGGGAACATGAGCGAGGCAGGAATGTTGGACAAGGAAGCGACTCTTGAGTCTTGCCAAGTTGGTGGCTGCCAGAGCCTGTTGAACGACGAAGGGGGATACCTTTCGAGGCCGATCTTTACCCTTGGTGTTCCCCCTCCTTCCTTCGTGTAGGTACGAAGTCGCCAAGTACCTTATTTGATGGTGCCCCCCTTCCCCATCTTGCCCATGTCGAACTTGTCACTAAGTATCTCTCGCTAGCGTGGCTTCCCAACTGTGCCCCCTCCCTCTTTCCCCGCCACCAACGACCTGCATCCACCTGCCTACTGTAATCTGTTAGTGTGCCAGTCTGTAGACATGGGTTTTCTGAGGCAGACCTTTCCCCATTCGCTCGCACATGCATTTCTCCCTGGTCCAATGTTGCAAATCCAACCAACCGATCAATGCTGCAGCAAGCGGGCAACTTGCGAGTCTGCGGCGCTGCGCCCAGCAACAATTGTGAAATGGGTATTTGCCGCTTTGCAGCTCGTTCGCAGCTCACCAGCTCCCCAGTATTCGTTTCTGTCCTTACAGCTTTCCCAGTGCCCACTTCAACTTTCCTCCACCTCACCGCATCCCTCGCCCGCCCGCCCCACGCTCTTCCTGCCTGCCCGACCCTGGCCTGACCTTTCAGGTTCCATGACCTGACCGCCGTCCATGAAGTTCACGGGAGGGAATCGTGGCATGCATGGTACCATGGTCTTCCATTACCACCTACATGTTTTCTTTTGCCTCTTCTTACCTCGATTCTCAATAAAGTGTACGATTCTCCAAAAGATACGACGTGGGGAGGGATTGCCGATCCCTCATGCACCAAAATATTTACGGATACCGACCTGGAAGACGGGCAGACAAGCGCCCAATGTCCGTACGGATCCCGACGGAGTAAAAAAGGGTCTGGCAAGTTGCAACCACAATTATTATCACCTGCAGCACATCTTTTCTCTTTCTCATGCAAGATTAGAGCAGTTCAGAAATGCCTTATCCTGGTCGACGGATGGTATCCGTACTTCATTTCCAGTTCCAGCACGCTGCAGTTGGGCAATAATTACATTCTTTCCCAGCTTGCAGTGCTTGCTTCATCTTCCATGCTGTTCCTGGATCCTCATATCTTTCTTTGTCTCTCATCTATCCGCGGCCATAGCCCTCAACCCTTGCTGATATGAGGCGTCTGCCAGGTGCGACTTTCGCCATCGTGGACATCATCACCTTTCATCACTCAGACCATGTTCATGACCCTGACCTTGACCTTGATCGCTTCGGCAAAGCCGCGCAACCAACAGAAGCGGTACCAACGGTCTGGTCGCTATCCGCGCCGGCAACGGCACCGGTTCTAGCACCAGCAGCTCCCAACATGCTGATCGACATCATCGAGATGCCATCAACCGGCGTTCAGATGGGCACCCACCCTTCGGACAAATCCCGGAGCCCCATGGCTTGCCATTACGATTCCATCAGACTACGTCTGGTACGTCGACAAAGGCGTAGATGTTGACAGGTTTCCAACTCCCAACTTATCTTATGCTGCAACACCCATCCAGATAATTGGTGCGAGGATAGGTAGTGCCATCCTCACCACCGTGACTGACACCGCTCTTTCTTCTTTGACATCTTTCAACTAGGAGGAGAAGGAAGACTATGATTTGCCTGCCCCGAGTATACCTCCCACAAGATACCCAAGATATTGACAAGGACACCTCAACTACCAGTCGGTCCTGCCTGTCATCTGTTGCCGCCTTCCGATACTTCAAAGTGGAAGAATAAGGCAGTAAACTAGGTAATCAAGTATTCCGTACTTTCCTCACTCCAAGTTATGTAAGGTGAGGTAAAGTAAGGTAAGGTACCTATCTTCCAAGGTCTCCCTGCGGCCGTGCCTTGGGTTCCATGATCCCCACCTGGTCAACCTGCCTTATGGGTCCCGGTAACGGTGCCTGCCCGCACCCCCCCTCGTCCATGTCTCTCATCCACTCCCACGCCGAAAGGTACCTTAGCACGCTTAGGTATGGAGACTCCAGTCTGTACGGATGCTCTGGACATTCGAACTTCTCGTTCAGATCGGCCGCGTTCTGGGCCCCTCCCCCCCCCCCCCCCCGAACTTGCCCTGCCTCGAGCCGCACAATTGCTTCTTCTCGCCGCTGCGTCGCTACTGCCACTGCTGCGTCGCACCCATTCCCTCTTTTGTCTCGCGCTGCTTACATTCGGTCTGCTTATCCACCACCCACGCGAAGCCAACCGTCAACCCACCATTGGCCCTTGCACCCCTTCCGTCTTAGACATGCAGAAACATGCAGAATGCCACTCCAGTTTCTCCTCACGGATGGCCTCGTTCTTGTTCTTCTCTTCCTCCACTTTTCACTTCCTCTCACGTTCTGCGGTAGCGGCAGCGGCAGCGGCAGCGGGATCCTCTACTTGCCTCACTCGCCATGCCATGCTCTCCTCTTTCGTGTCGTGTCTTGCCCCCCTCCGTCCACCAAGACTCCTCCGTCAGGCTTTTCATCATTGCCCCCTCTCCATCTCTTCTCCCACCCCCTTCAGGCTCCTCTCTCCTCTGAGCCCTGAGCCCTGAGTCCTGGGATTTTGGGCTTTTCTGCTTGACCGATTCCTACGGGCGTAACGAGGCAAGGGACTGGCACTACGACTGAGACCGCATCTGCAGCTACTTGGAGGATTCACCACCACTCTCTCATCTTCATTTCCTCACACGCACCTCTCGCCAATATCATCGCTGTCGCCAACGCGCCATTACATGCTTGCTGCGTCCTCAGCGAGCCGTTTGCCCCCCTCGTGCCAGCCTGAGATCCGCTTTTTGGCCGTCTGCCGCTCCCCTTCCCCCGGCCTCGCCCCGTCGATGGTCACTCTCCATCCATCAGATTGATCCTCTCTCTATCTCTCTCTTTCTCCTTGCCTTCAACCGCTTACTCCTTACCTTAGCTTCTCCTCTGGCCCTATCCGCCGTCCCTCGTGTGTTTCTGCTAGACTCGGGTCTTATCTCTTTTCTCTTTCCCCTCCCCCGTCACTTTGTTCAACTCAACCCCCTCTCCACCCGTCTCCATCTTTCAAGTTCTACTTTCCCCTGCCCAAATCCTACAAACTTTTCCTGAGTTGTGACCGGGACGTTACCTCTAGCACTTCTCTAGCTCCATCAACGCCAACGCCAACGCTTGTCCTCTCTCAACGTCTCAACTCTCGACTCCTCGTAAATCCCTCCTTGGCCTGGCCAGCATCACCAAGCTTGCCTTCTTCCACAGAGACCCACTTGGTCTGCTTCGAAATGGTTTGCTGAACTACTATCACCACCGGTCCTCACTTCAACATCAAAGTCTCGATATTCCACCGTAACACTCGCTCCAAACGACAAGCTCAACCGTTTTGGCCTGCTGTTTCAACTTGGCACGATATAACTCACGACCATCCACGAATAGGCACCATCTTAATTGAGTTCATGCTTCGGGCTACGCCACTATTTTCAACATGCCTCTCGATATCAACTCGTTACTCAACCCCGAGAAGGCCGTCAACCGGGAGACGGAGGCTCTCATGATGTTCACGGGCATATTTGATGAATTCAGAAAGACATTTCCACGGCACAGTCAGAGAGAAGGCGAATTGGCGTACATGGCAGACGTCACGATGCATGTTTTCGATGCCTTTAAGAAGTTCACCGACGACTACCTGACGAAAGAGCGCTTGGAATCGACCGGTCACAATCTCGTAGACCAGGCCTACCGCGCTAATGGGTTCAACGACATGGGCATTCTGGAATTCGCAAAAACTCAACACAAAATGCTAAAGTGCGTACAAGTACTTTTCTATCTTTCCGGCCGTGGGAGGTGCACACTGCTGACGGCGTTTTAGCAATATGAAGGAAGAAATCAACAGCAGTGCGGGCAATCTGAAGACCATCAGAGATCGTGCAGCTCCACCACACCAAAACAGATATCTTCCAGAGTACAGACAACACCCTATGGCTTCAGACTCCAGCTCCAGGTCGTCATTTTCCGTTTTAGGATCAAGCTCGACAACAGGGTTCTCTGCGGTGGGATCTCAAGCATCATTTTCTGATAGCTCGCGCACCTACCATCCATCTGATGGTGACAGGCGATCAACCAGCCCGCCATCTCCACATGATGAGGACGAAGAGGAGGATGACGATGTCTTGGATGCGGACGACTCGGACGAGAGGAACCCAAATCGTGTGGATATGGACTCTCTTCGACACAGAGGTAAGGGCGAGTATAGGTGCCCTTACTGGAGGACATGTCAAAAAGGGGGTCAAAATATCAACGGGGGACCCAAGATCTTTCACCGGAACTGCATGTACAGGTATGACGGCTGGGTCCCATCTCTGAGTTCAACGCTAATAGGAGCAGGCAACACTTGCAGAAGCATTCCAAACCTCACAAGTGCCAACTACCAGGATGTCCAAATAAAGACGGATTCGCCAGGAAGGACCAGTTGGTTCGACATCAGCAAAATGTCAAGCACGACCAGCCCTCACCGTTGCCTGGGGCCCGAAGGTAGTATTGCATCTAAGCTCATGAATTAGTCTGCAGCCGGATTGAATTCCGGACCGGCGACCGGGACAGCATCCGGGGCAGGCAGAGCGAATTCCATTTACAGCACGACATAATGATTGGGGGCAACAGCGGTTTTTTTATCTCTCTGTTTCTTGCTTGGTATAAGGGACAAGCATTCCATGGCGTTGGGCTAGCACAATGTATCATTACTCTCATGTTGGGAGGGGTCAGCGACAGTCATTTTGGATTGGGACGCGCACATGATGCGCCTTGCATGGGAGAGCTGGTTGGTCAGAGCAGTCTGGTTCTTGACTACCGGGTGGTTGGCTGCTGTATGAGAGAGTACCTGAGGGTTTAGCCCACCTATGAAACATTTGCACGGAAATGCGTGCACAAAGTCTCACGGACTACGATCGATGTTGGTCGCCAAATATCATTCTGTTGGCGAAGAAACCCATGCCCGCTTATTGGACAAGTCTCTGTATCCTTGCGCTGCGCCGTCTTTCGAAGAAAACTCGGAAAGAATCCAACAAACAGCGAACGGAGGAAACGTTCCAGTCGGCAACATCTGCAGGAGATGCCGATTGGTAATTTTTTGGGCTTTGCGGTGTGCCAGTGAAACATGGACAATCTCATGCGGGCGCCATCAAAGATGGCAGTCGAAAGACGTTGGGCCAAGGTCGTCACGAAATAGTCTAGGTGGGTAGACATGCCTGCCGGTTAAACCTGGCAGATACTGACTCATTGGGAGAGAAATCGTCGACGTCGATATTCTGTATCTGAGCTGAAGTACCTAATTATTATCACGAGTGTTACCAGGTTTCTGGTTAGTTTCCGCTTACTACGGAAATCCTTCAAACGCTGCGAGACGGGGTTCTGGGACTGGCATGCGCAAAGCAAACAACCTTGGAAGGGAAAATGGCGGGCGGGCGTATTCGTACTGTACTACTGCCGGCATGATGAGATGCCAGGACGTGGACCGGCAAGACGGCTCAGAACCTGGTGGAAGGGTGACTGGAACACAGTCAAAACTAAGCGGGAGATGTGCCGTGGGCGTCAGCTTGTGTGGTGCCTCCCCTCCCCCGTTGTGAATTCTGGACCTTGCAGGCTTGGTCGCGGGAGGGGGAAGGGAGGGGCAGGCAAGGCAGGAGAGGAAGGGCTGGCTACCTTACGGAGCAAATGCCCGTCTGTCATCAGATGTCGTGTCGTACGGGAAAAGGACGCTGGTGAAGCCTGGTGCAACAACACCTCGTGGGCAGATCGTCTCCCGAAGAAGATGTACGGGAAAAAGACCTGGGTTCACCACAGTTTCTGAACCCTTACATACAATTGCACCTGCACTCATTTACAAGCGATTGGACACGGGACGGCGGCAGAGCATCTATGATGGGGTTGGTTTCACAGAGGCGATTGTCTCGCCTTCTGACATGCGCCTTTTTCTCGAATTGGGGGTAAGACTGTCATGTCAGATCATTAAGGTAGGATGGAAAGGGGGTAGAGGAAATAATACGAGAACGGCAGACGCCGCAGAGAGAAAGAGGCAAATGCAGAAGAAAAAAATGGGAGGGAAGCATACCAGGCACCGGCACCAGGTCAAGAGCCAGCAGACACATAGAGTGTGAGAGTTAGTTGGTTGGAAGGAAGAGACTTTTTCTCTTGTCCTTTGCACACTAGCGCGGAGAGAGAGATGATGGGTGGCGCACCGCAGCAAGACACCGCAGCAGGAAAGTGCCCAGGCTTGGCCATGGATTTTGATGGAACATGGTATGTCTAATGAGCCTGGGAACCCGTATCTCGAAAATCGGCCATACTGACTGAAGTGAATTGCTGGTAGGGATGGGTATGCAGTCGATCGAGTTCGGGGCGCGGGGGCCCCCCCCCCTTTCGCCAGAAGCGCGCCAGAGACGTGAGGAAGTTGGTTCTTGGCGGTCGCTGGAGAAGAGGAGAGTAACTGCAAGACAGCGGGAGAAGGAAACACTGACACAGAGAGATAGAGAGCAAGGGATTGCCGAACACGTCTTTTCGATTGGGAGCTACGGCAAGAATCCCGCTTCAGTAGAAAGCTGGAACATGGCGTATTTTGGGAAACACAGTCAGGCAACTAAGGTATTCACTGCTACTGCTACTCGAGTGAGGTAATTGAACCCAACACCACCCCCAAAAACCAACGGTAAAAGCAACGAGAAAACGGCCAGTCCATCCGGAAGAGGAGCAATGTCCGGAAAGAGTCTTGAATTAGGTGTAGGTATGCAACTCGCAAGTTTGCTATCTAGACACCCATCGCTACGACTAACCTTACTCGAGACTGCGTACGTCGAACAGATGAGTGAGTGTTCTTGTTCTAGTTTGAGGCAAGAAGTGGATGGACTACGACCTCGATTCGAGGAGAGCAGACTTCCGAGGAGGAATGGAACCCCCTCCTCGTGGGCTTTTCTTGGTCTTGGGATGGAGTTGTTGAGTATCCATCAGCGGTACGAATCGCACGACGCTGGATTCGTCGTGACCTGCGTTAGTGATATGGAGAATCTTCAAGGGTTGTCGTCCCGCCCTAGGCGTTTCCTGGCGTCTTGAGCATTTCCTCATTGCAGGCTTAAGAGTAAAGTATGGAGCACGGGGACGGGAGTAGAATTAGATAGTCAGCTGGGCTGGGTCTTGAACATTTGTCGAGATATCAATGAACCTGGTCTTCTTTTGCTGAGAAAAGAACGCTAGGCTAGGGGGTTTGATGTTCTTGATGGAAGCCAAGGGTAAGGTTGTTGAGGCAGTTGAGCTGTGATTGGTCACTTGGAGAGGAACAAAGGCCGGACCAATGAGAATACACGGCACAGTTTGGCAGTCACGAACAAGGCAGGGCCATGGTGCAACACTTTCCTACGTACCTTAGTAGTGTACGGGTACCCATGGCACGCCGCACCGATGGGCAAGACCCCTGCCCGTTCTGGATATCAATCTAGGGTCACTATCGAGTACGTACCTCCCTGATGCTCCTCTCTTCCTTCCCCCCTGACAGTTGACCTGACCCTCCTCTTCCTTCCTCCACTCCACTCCTCTTTCCCCCATGGCCCATGGCGGCATGGCCCATGGCAGCTGCCTTACCTAAGGCAACTTCAACCCTTTGAGATCGTGGCTTCCTTGCTCGATTCCAACGACGACAAGAAAGCGGAACCGCAAGCGCAACCTGGAAAGACCCGCATCCTCGACGGCAACCACCCCCCCGGTCCCCTTCATTACTCGCTTACTGCACCCCCCTCCAAAGTCCCCTCCAACACTCTCGCATCGACAAGTCACAACACCACTTCACCTCACAAGCCCAAAGCAACGACCATCCATCTCAACGTGGTTTACGCTACACTTCACTACCTACACCAGACCACGCTACTGTCTATGTGACCACGGATACCAATCTTGTCAGATCGCAGATCCCTCCGTGCCCCGGGAGCCGCCTGGTTTGGTCTCACCTCGCTCGGCGCCGCCTGCTGCCACTCCCGAGACGAATACGCCGCTTCTGTTGCGACGTTCTGCTCCTTCGTCGCCCTTTCTTTCTGTCTAACCCGAAATCTCCTGGGTTTTCGCCACCCTCTACTGATGTGATGGGATGCGAATCGACGTCGTGTCCTGGCTGTCGTCGGTATACTCACTCCCATGGTTCCAACAACGGCAGCATAGAACACACACGGCATGGCCCCGTCAAATGAATGCAAGTCGCATTACCCCGTCCTCCTGCGCTCCAGCTGCGCTGCGCCCATGACCATGTACATCTGGGATTTCCCGGGGCCCGGCCGCCTCCATTCACTCTAGATCCTCACTCCAGGGATTCAGAGTCAGGCCATTCCAGGTCACTTGATTTCCCGCTCGACTCCCCCTAGGGAGAGAGAATGATGGCGAGTTTTCCTAGGAGATCCAAGTGTCAACGTCGGTCCTTCCCCGAGTGGACGGTGTGTGCCATCGGTGGTCGGTTGGACGTCGGCATCTAATCTCGTACGTGCTTGCTGCGCGGGTCCCTTGGAGTAGAACGGATATCCGCGCCTGAGCCGTGGACGACGAAGGAACGGATGGACGGAAGAAGCCACTGAGGCGTAGACGTAGGCACAGGCGTGTGTATCAAACATTCTCCCTTGTGGATAATGCGTTGCTCTTTTCTGCCTTCTTTCCGTCTTCGAGATGCTGACGTGTTTATCTATATAAAGACTCGAGCCGTGTCCGAAGTGATGTGAGATCTCCCTCGTGTTAGTTACAACCAGCTCTCAGAAGCAGATTGCATTACAAGAAAAACATATTATGGCCAAGTCATCGCTATTCACAGCCCCTCAGGGCACCGGCGTCAAGTCGGAAACCTACATCGTCGTTGGAGGAGGCATCTTTGGCCTCTCTACGATCATCTGGCTGCGTAAATACAAGCCTGACTGCAGTATTGTTCTCATTGACCCTACCGCCCTCGCCAACCCCAAGGCGGCGTCCCATGACATCTCCAAGATTGGCAGGAATGACTATCCAAACCTGCCTTACGCAAAGCTGGCCATCGAGGCCTTGAGGTATTGGGAGACTGACTCCTTCTGGAACCCCTTCTTCCACCAAGTCGGCATGATCCGTGCTGAACCTCACAACAACAAGGATAAGAACCACAACGACAAGGCTCAGGATGTCCATCGCGCCCTCGGCCACGAGTCTGGCGCCAGATGGATGACTCCTGACGAGGTGCGAGCCGAATGGCCTGCCTTTGCCACGGCCGACTTTGAGGGACTCGACCGGGTGAGGTATAACCCTCAGTGCGGCTGGTTCGAGGCGGCCAACTCTCTCGAAGCTGCCCGCCAGAGAGTTATCGACGAGGGAGCCAAGCTCATCACGGCCGAGGTCACGAGCTTGCTCTTCAGCAGCGAAGGAGACTGCACCGGAGTCAGGCTGGACAACGGACACGAGGTCAAGGGCGTCGTGTTGCTCTGCACTGGTGCTCGTACCTCGTCGCTGCTCCTGGAGAGTGCCCCTGAGCGTAAGGAGCTTCATGCTGGGGATCGAGTCGTTGCTACCGGTGCCGTGAGCTTCACTACCAGCGTTCAGGGGGCGCACAAGGACAAGTTTGAGGGCATTCCCGTGCTCAAGAACCGTATTCCCTCGGTCAAAGGTGAGTCATTTGAACTGTTTCTACTAGTGCAGATATTGACAAGAGACCAGGCGAGTCCATGTCTATGACTCCGGACGGAACACTCAAGTTCAACTGTGACATGGCTTTTACATATCACCAGTTTCACGCCATGACTGGCAAGACCATGTCACTCGCACCGTCGTCTCCAAGTCTCACCGAGTGGACCGAAGACGGAGTTCCCGAGCGCCTTAAGGAGCAAGCTCGCAAGACCCTCAAAGGTCTTTACGGAGACGAGATGAATGACAAAGTGATTGAAAAGTACCGTGTCTGCTGGTAAGTCTTGCCCCCCCCGTTGCTGCCATCGTATCACCCGTAAAACCTCGGCCCGAGATATGCTTACACCGCCACGCGACACAACAGGGACGCGACCACGCCTGGGCACGACTTTCTTATTTCCCCTCATTCCCGCTGCAAGAACCTCTACGTCGCAACGGGCGGCTCGTTCCACGCCTGGAAGTTCTTCCCCGTCATTGGCGAGTACGTCGTTAAGATGATGCACGGCAAGCTCGAGGCCGAGTACGCCGACATGTGGGCCTGGGACCGTAAGCCTGGGGGACAGGTCGCCAACGCGACGTATGATATCGAAGGAGACTTGGGGGAGTGGATGAAGGGTGAGAAGCTCGAATGCTGAGTTCATCTCGGCTTCCACCTCATGATTTCGATTCTCTAGGGATTGAGATAGAAGAAGAGGATGATGATGACGACGACGATGATAATGATGGATACATACATGCATTGCTGGCGTTATTAGACGAGGTGCATCCTGTGCCGCCGGGTGCTCGTTGTGATGGGAATTGCATTGATACTCCGGCACAGGGCATTGGGATGGATACACGGCATAACGCATGCGGGCATCGTGGCGATGATTATTATATCTGGAGGATATAGGCAGGTAGTGACAATGCGCGTTGTTGTTCTCTTTTGCTTTCTTTTTGCGAGGTGGCGTTGTCGAGGTGTCAGTACATGGAGGTTTGATTGACTACCTCCAGCATAAAATGGGCTTCACTGTCATCGGCATCCCGAACCGCAGATATGAAATACGTGCCGATCTGCAGTGGCCGAGATATCGGATTTGCCGAAGGCTGGTCAGCCCGGCACGCCCCAGGTTCGCATGTCTGAACCAAACATGCTTCATTCTGTCCCGGTGGCTTGGTTGGTTCCGTTGGTCGTTGTTCGGTAGCCCAGGTACAACCTTCTTGACGTTTTGTACTCCCTTCCTAGAATGTCACCCGCCGTACCGTAGTGGACCGCTCAAAGACAGCTTTTTTCTTCTTCATGTTGGTGTTGGTGGGTGTTGAACAGATCGTGTGACGGGTACCTTGGGAGGAGAGGGGAGTAGATCGACTAGAACGCTTTGCGTTGTTAGGTACGGACATCATCGGGGACTATGTGATGTGGCAATTGTCTGGGATAAATATCTCATCTGTGCTGCTGCGGAGGGTTCAGTCCGTTGGTCAAGGTGTAGTGCGGAGGTCGGGTTTTTGTACTGCAAAGGAATCATGTCTCAGCATACTCATTGCAGTGAAATAGATTATTGGTGTGGTTTTCTTTGGTTTATGTAGCGGCGTATCAGCTCGGGAGGAGCTTCGCGCGATACGTGAGTGATGGCCTTTTGTGATCTAAGGACGGTAGAGATAACGACCATCTCATTCTTTGATCTCCCAGTTCCCAGACAGCCAGCCCCTTTTGAGTTTTGATTCAATCACTTTGGGCTGAACGCAAGCAGGCAATGCCAACGTTGGGTTGGGACTTGACAGCTGCGACTAGACGCCGCGTGAGAGATTTCAGTACCACTGAGATGTGACGCAGATGAGAGGAGTAAGATTCAGGGCACCCGTAAAGCGCCCATGTTGTTTTGTGGTGTTGAGCCATTGTCTTTTATAGTAACCCGCCATGTCCAAAGATATACCAATGTATATACATATCGCAATATGCAATGTCCATCTTGCTCGATTCCTCGTTCCCTCTCTTTTCGGTGCAACTGCCCCGTGACTAGCCGCACCGGCCCAATGGCTCAGGATATCCTTTTTGCAACCTCCAAGTGGTGTTTTCTGACCTTCTCTTAAGCGGGTATGGCCTCGGTTCTCCGCAAATTCTTCTCCCTTTGCGAAGGTGGCCTCTCACCCTCGCTCAACCCTCCAGCTGACCGGAGCTATTCGAACCTAACAATCGAGTAGACGTGACTTAACCTGCCGTCAAGCCGCGGTCCACCAGACCCGGAAGCCAACCGGCGAAAATCAACAACCCCATCGCCCAGCCTACGACGACCCGTTTACAGCCAGCTTGCCCTCCGTCTTCTCAAGGTAATTGACCAGAGCCTCGATGGTGCACACCTTGAGCCCGAACCGCCTCGCAAACTCGATGCACTGCTCGCCCCTCAACATGCCAGGCTCCTCGTGCACGGCCTGCCCCTCAACAGGAACACCATCGTCGACGATCTCGCAAATCGCCGCCGCCTCCTTCTTGCCCGCCAACCTGCAGAAGTCGACCGCGGCCTCGGTGTGGCCCCTCCGCTCGCGCACGCCGCCCTCGCGCGCGCGCAGCGGCAGGACGTGGCCCGGTCTGCGGAGGTCTCGGGGGCCCGAGGCCGGGTCGGCGAGGACGCGGCAGGTCAGGGCGCGGTCGTGGGCGGAGATGCCGGTGGTCACCAGGGGATCAGCGGCGTCGACGGAGACGGCGTAGGCCGTGCCGCGGGGGTCCTCGTTTGCGGAGACCATGGGCGGGAGGTTGAGGGTCTGGAGGAGGGAGGGGGCGAGGGGGGCGCAGACGTAGCCCGAGGAGTGGCGGATCATGAAGCCCATTTGGGCTGTGGTGAGGGATTCGGCTGCGATGATGAGGTCTGCTTCGTTTTCGCGGGAGGGGTCGTCCAGGACGACGAGGAATTCTCCGTTGCCTGGGGGGTTATGGTGGCCGAGTCAGTGAATGGTGTCTATGACGCATTGAAAGGGGAGGAGACCAGTGGACGCGCAGGCGCGCGCGCGCGCGCAGGGCGGAAGAGGGTTTGCGGGAGGGAGGTTGAGCGGAAGTTCCGGGGTAGAAGATTACTTACGGAATGCCTCAATGGCGTCCGGAATGGAGTCGAACTTTGACTCGTCTATTGTTGAGGAAGGCATTGCTGCGGCTGGTGTATGGAGAGGGCGGAATGAGTCGTTGTGGGAGGTGCGAAGAGGAAGAGGCGAGAGTGCGCAAGAGGTGGTGGTGGTGGTGGTAGTTGAGGTTGCGGTCGAGGCTGAGGTTTCGCTCGTGACGGTGTGTTGTTGGAGTTGGCGGTGGTGGACGGACGGGACGGAGGGGTGAGGGGGAGGGGTTGTTGTTCAATTGAAAAGGCCGATCCCCGCGCGCGCGCGTGTGGAAGATGGCAGAAATTAGGTGCTAGCTTGGGGGTTCTGCGGGCAAAGTTCGGTGGTCCAGGGGCTGGGAGGCGGGTGCGGGTACGGGTCTCCTTTATCGTCTTTTTTTCTTTTCTCTTTTCTTCAGCAGGAACGTACCCGATATTCCGTCATGCGGAAGGAGTGGAGGCAAGGCAAAACGGGCGGAAGAGGATGGGGCTTTCTGTGAGTGAGTTCTGGGCCGGTTCCGGTTTATTTGACCCTGAAGGTTGGCGGATGATAGGATCTGGGCCGATCTCTAAGGTGTTGTATCTCGGCGATGTTCAAATTGTTTATCAATGTACTCAAACTTGTAACTTCAGGATGCACTTATTATATAACAACAGCCAAATAGTACAACGTGTTCAATAGAATATCTCAACACGCAATGTGGAGGATTGCCTTTATAAATGTGACATGTCGTCGTCGGCCGGCGCAAGGACGACAAAAAAAAAAAAAAAAAAGTCCCGAGGATCGCTCGGCTTTGTTGGTTGACTCATGGGATTCGCCGGCCGACTTGCACACTAGACTGGTCTGCGCCTGTCATCCATGTGCTTGCGTCTTGCGTGCGTGCAACTGCACTTTGGACCCCTGGACAATTGTGGTGGGATGAGGAGGGGCTCAATGCTACTGGCGCCGAATGCGCCGAGGAATCGGCTAGCGGGCATGAAATCTCGGGCGGCGGTCGGGCTTTCAGAGTTCTAGCGCGGAGCCACCATTCCTGGCACCTCGGAGAGTCTGCTCATTCATATTACCTATGGAGTACGGAGTACCTTGGTAGGAACTCGAACAGCTGAGGTGAGATGCCACGGATGCGAAGACATCCAGATGCGACCAACCGGCGCGAACCGAGATCGTACGGATTACATAAGGTGCAGTCAGAATTACACATGAAGTGGGCGCTGACAAAGCTTCCGAATAAGCACCCGCGCGGCCCTGTTCTAGCCAAGGCCCAAATGGTACGGTTTCCACGGTGCGGGTTCAGCCAATTTCTGGGTAGTCAAGGTATTCCAAAGTTGTGGGATTGAGCACATTTGATTCTTTGAGTGCTGTATTTGCTACAGATTCTGGTCGGTGTTTCTGCTATGCTCTAATGCACGCGAATGTCACCTGTAACGGAATGCCGCATTTGCAGATGAAGATGGGTGCAGATCAACCAGCAGGGGAAGCTACCGATTCAAGTGCACTCTGATTCGGTGACAGCGCCGAGGTCGCGGATAGATTCTCCAATTTCTCCAACCCCCGGCTCCCGGAGTACCCTAGCACGTCACAGCTCTCTGCTTTGTCATCAATTTTTCTCTCGAAGCTCTGGATTTCCCATCAAATCCTCACCAGCACATTCAATCCCCACACCTGCGATCCGTACCCACGACCACAAATCGCCATGGCATCTTCTCGCCCGGCCACAGCCGCCTTATTGCGCGCGCTGCGGCGGACAAGCACGGCACCCCAACAATCCTCCCGCGCGGCTGCAACGTCACTCCCCCTCCGAACGGGTCCCGGGCCTGCAGCCACCGCCACCACCGCCGCCGCCGCGCCGCTCCAGTTCCGCCGGCCAAGCTCAACCTCGAGCTCGACTTACTCGTCCGTCTCCCCCGAAGAAGTCGAGCACTTCAACATCCTCGCCGCCGACTGGTGGGACCCCCACGGCTCCTCGCGCCTCCTGCACCTAATGAACCCCCTCCGCCACAACTTCATCCGCGACTGCCTCGCCAGCCAACCCGACCCGTCGCCCACGCCCACGCGCTTCCTCGACGTCGGCTGCGGCGGCGGCATCTTCGCCGAGAGCGCGGCCCGGCTGCCCGACACTACCAAAGTCACGGCCGTCGATCCTACGCCCGGCGTGCTCGCCATCGCAAAGGGCCACGCGCGGCGTGATCCGGCACTGCGGGGCAAGCTGGAATACAAGGCCGCCACGATCGAGACGCTTCCCGTTCCCACCAAGGCTGAGGAGTGTTACGATGTGGTGTCGGTGTTCGAGGTCGTCGAGCACGTGTCGTCGCCGGCCGAGTTCCTTGACCGGTGCGCGCCGTTTGTGAGGCCTGGCGGGTGGCTTATCGGGAGTACGATTGCGAGGACGTGGACGAGCTGGTTCACGACGAATTTGATCGCCGAGGATATCTTGGGGATTGTGCCCAAGGGCACGCACGATTGGCGCAAGTACATCAACGACGACGAGCTCAAGGGCATGTTTATGGGGAAGGGGTGGGAGATGCCGAGGGTCATGGGGGTTGTGTATGTGCCTGGTCTCGGGTGGAGGGAGGTCAAGGGCAGCGAGAAGGTTGGAAACTACTTTTTCGGTGTGAGGCGGGCGGCGTGAGATTTGTCTACACGCATGTACGAAGAAGTCGGGTGTGTAAAAGCAACTGTAGAATAATGGGCACTGGTGATACCCCCTTTACCTAGAGTCGGCTGTTATGGGGCGAGTTGACCATTTCAAAAGACCGCTCCCATTGGGCAGCATGATTCAAGCACGTCACTTGTTCGAACCATAAGGGTTGTGGCTGACGAGGAATCACTCAGGCTTTAGGTGAGTGATGGCTGGTTGGCATAAGGCGGGCTGTTGTGATCTGTTTTGTTGATTTGACAAGTTTGAGTTTCGATTGCTAACGCATTCGTATTTTTGAGATGGAAGTTCGAGAACGTTAGGGAGTCTGCGGTGCATCACGAACGGCATCGTTATGTTCGCTCCAATAAGGCTTGTCCATGTATTACACAACTTTAACCTGTTCCTACTACAGCCGATGTCATACGGAAGGAGTCAGACGGTACAGTTCCAATTGTAATCTAGGAGATCTGGGTCTTATAGTTGCGACTGTAACCCAGAGGAGCTATGTTTTACAGTTGAGACTCTGACCTAGGGGGGGCTGGATATCACCGTTGCGACTGTGGTCTTGCTTGGAGGAGCTGAATCTTACAGTCGCGACCCTAATCTAGAGGAGTCGGACCTCACATTTGCAACTGTAAGCTACCTTACCTAAGGGACGCTGGGTCTTACAGTCGTGACTGTAAGGCAGGGGAGCTCGATCATACAGTTGCGACTGTAGTCTACCTCGGAAGAGCACTTGAGACGCTGGACCTTAAGTACCTTGCCTTCCTTACCTTACCTTGCCTTATAGTCGCGACTGTAAGCTGACCAGTCTCAATTCTCAGTTTAAGTTTAAGTGGGTCTTGCAATCGTGAAAGCAAGTGCAGCATCTCCGTCTCTCAATATCGTATGCGTGTTGTCCCAGTAGGGTTGTCCAATCAGGCCTGGCTCAAATCAAATGAGACTGAGCTTATCTGCCGCACACAAACGACAGCGGAACCACGTTTCTCTTTCTCCTAGGAGCTCAAAACAAGTCTCCCCACGCGGTTTGTGGTTTCGGGAGACTATTAACGCATAGCAGGTGGGAAGGTGGTGTCTCTTTCTCCGCGGCGCAACGAGAGCCGCCCGTTGTGGGTCCAGGCAACAGACCTGTGATTGGCCTGTTTCACTCTTATCATCCGATGGTCTCCCACCCCGTTATCATGTCACTCGACTTCAAGAGCGTACAATTGCTCAATGGTAATACCTATCCGTGCCACCACAAAGTACTTTGACCCTAAACTCTCTTCGATGCAAACCGTGGAGATGCTCAATCAGATGTCATCGTCTCAGCCCTGCGGCCAATCAGCGCTCGTCGCTCTTGGGCACCTCTGGCTGGTCATCCGTCTCGCCGGAGATGCTGATCCCAGCGGATCAAGCTTGCACTGACTTCATTGTGCGCCGAGGGAGAACGCTGCGTCTTTTATCATGGCCTAATGAACCCGAAGACCTCCGATATTAGATCTTGTAGGAAATCCTATTGTTTTCTCGTTTTCTCTTTTTGATTCCCCTTCGCTCTCTGAGTGTACTCTTGCTGCTTATCGCATCTCGTTGGTGATTTGTGTTTTCAACATGGCGGAACGAAAGAGACTCGTTGTTGTCGGCCTGGGAATGGTCGGCATCGCCTTCATGTGAGTCCTGCGATACATCAAATGGTGCGATCCGACTGACTAACTGTTCCAAGTGAGAAGATGCTAAAGTTGGACGCCCGCGCAAACGAGTACAGCATCACGGTGCTTGGAGAGGAACCTCACCTTGCATACAACCGCGTTGGCCTAACAAGCTTCTTTGACCACCGAAAAGTCGAGAATCTCTACCTCAACCCAGAAGAATGGGTATGTGCACGCACCCATTCATCGACTCGCTACTCTTTGCTGATTCCTTGACCAGTACCACAGCACGCCTCAGGGCTCTTTCGGGTATCACGTCAACACCAGAGTCACTGAAATTGACTCCCAAACCAAAAAGGTGACCTGCTCGAATGGAGAGGTCGTACCGTACGACATTCTAGTCATCGCCACCGGCTCAGATGCCGTTCTTCCCAAGCACACACCCGGGCACGACGCAACAGGCGTATTCGTTTACCGGACGATTGACGACCTCATCAACCTCATCGCCTTCGCCGCCCAAAGGAAAGGAACCGTGGGAGCGGTTGTCGGTGGTGGTCTCCTCGGTTTGGAGGCGGCCAAGGCGATGATGGACTTGGACTGCTTCGACAAGGTAAAACTGATTGAGAGGAATCGGTGGGTGCTGAGCCGGCAATTAGACAATGACGCGGGGTCCATGGTCGTGGATCAGGTCAGGGACCTCGGCCTCGACGTGCTCCTCAGCAAGCGCGTGGGCAAGATTGAGGTGACGAGCGACAACCACGTCCGGGGCGTGATCTTCGAAGACGGCGAGCGTATGGACTGCTCCACGATATGTTTCGCCATTGGTGTCCGGCCACGAGACGACCTAGCGCGGAGAGCAGGCATCAAATGCGCTGACCGTGGTGGCGGTATCGTTGTTGGAGACGACTTGAGCACCAGCGCACCAGATATCTACGCTATTGGGGAGTGTGCAAGCTGGCAAAGTCAGACCTTCGGCCTGATCGCTCCCGGAGTCGAAATGGCAGACGTCCTTTCGTTCAATCTCACACAAGCCAAGCTGCACCAGCCCCGGTTATTCAAGAGACCCGACCTCAGCACAAAATTGAAGCTCTTGGGTGTTGATGTTGCTAGCTTTGGCGACTTCTTCGCCGACCGAGATGGCCCGCAATATTTGCCTCCAAAGGTGGCCAGGAAGGCGAAAAAGGAAGACGAGCAAAGCACTATCAAGACCTTGACAAACGGCCTACCACCGGCCCCTGTCAAGGCACTCACATATCGCGATCCGTTCCAGAATGTGTACAAAAAGTACATCTTCACTGAGGACGGCAAGTACCTTCTGGGTGGCATGATGATCGGCGACACGAAAGACTACATCAAGTTAGTACCCATGGTCAAGAACATGAAGGAGTTGGACGTGCCGCCCAGTCAGCTCATCCTTGGTGCCAAAAAGGAGGGCGAAGACGACGGCGACGACTTGACGGACGACACTCAGATCTGCTCATGTCATAATGTGACCAAAGGCGATGTGGTCAATAACGTCAAGGATGGTACCTGCAAGACGCTCGGCGAAGTCAAGGCGTGCACCAAAGCCGGCACCGGCTGCGGTGGCTGCATGCCCCTCGTGACGACAATCTTCAACAAGACCATGTTGTCCATGGGTAACGAGGTCAAGAACTACCTGTGCGCCCACTTCAACTACTCCCGCGCCGACCTGTACAACATCATCCTCGTCAAGAAGCTGCAGACTTTTGAGGACGTCATGCGCGAGGCTGGTAACGACCGGACCTCACTCGGCTGCGAGGCCTGCAAACCTACCATGGGCAGCATCTTTGCCTCATTATGGAACCGTCACGTCATGGACAAGCCCATGCACGGTCTCCAGGAGACTAACGACCGCTTCCTCGGCAACATCCAGCGCAACGGCACGTACAGCGTGGTCCCGCGCGTGTCGGCGGGCGAGATTACGCCCGACAAGCTCATCGCCATCGGGAACGTGGCATCCAAGTACAAGCTGTACACGAAAATCACTGGCGGACAGCGCATCGACATGTTTGGTGCCAAAAAGCAGGACCTCTTGGATATCTGGCGGATGCTGGTCGAAGCCGGTATGGAATCCGGCCACGCGTACGCAAAGTCGCTGCGGACGGTCAAGAGCTGCGTGGGCACGACGTGGTGTCGATACGGCGTCGGCGACAGCGTGGGCATGGCGGTGCGGTTGGAGGAGCGGTACAAGAGCATTCGCGCGCCGCACAAAATCAAGGGCGGCGTCAGCGGGTGCGTCCGCGAGTGCGCCGAAGCGCAAAACAAAGAGTACGTTACCTGTAGAATCCTGGAATATGGAAACCACTAACATCGTCTCCCCAGCTTCGGCCTCATCGCCACGGACAAGGGCTTCAACATCTTCGTGGCCGGCAACGGCGGCGCCAAGCCGAAGCACTCTGAGCTGCTGGCCAAGGACGTCCCGCCCACCGAGGTCATTCCCATCATCGACCGCTACCTCATGTTCTACATCCGCACCGCCGACAGACTCCAGCGCACGGCGCGCTGGCTCGAGAACCTCCCCGGCGGCATCAAGTACCTCCAGCAAGTCGTACTGGAGGACAAGCTCGGCATCTGCGCCTCGCTCGAGGCCCAGATGCAGGAGCTCGTTGACAGCTTCTTTGACGAGTGGGCCGAGGCCATCAAGAACCCGGCCATTGCCGCGAAATTCAAGCAATTTGACAACACGGAGGAGACGGTCGAGAACATGGAGGTCGAGCTTGACCGCGACCAGCCAAGGCCGGTGTACTGGGCGCCCGAGTCCGCAAAGGAGGACTTCAAGGGGTTGAAGGAGAGGTGGAGCAGTACGACTTGGCAGCCCATGTTGCCGGCGAGTCACTTTTTCGGCGCGGACGAGACGCCGAATGGTATCTCAGCGACGGTGAAGCGCGGGGATACGCAGCTCGCCGTGTGGCGGGTTCGGGGCCGGTATTATGCTACGCAGCAGATGTGTCCTCACAAGAGGCAGTTTGTGCTGTCGGACGGGCTCATCGGCGAGGAGCCCGGCGCCGGCGCCGACGGAGACAAGTGCGAGGATGCGAAGAAGCCTGAGTCTGGGTGTAACGGCGGTCACAATACCGATACCAATGGTAGCGGTGACGGCAACGAGACGAAGCGGCCGGCGCCGTGGGTCTCTTGCCCGTACCACAAGCGCAACTTTGACCTCGCGGACGGGAGCTGCAAGAACGACGACGAGGTGAGCATCGCGACGTTCGCAGTGGAGGAGCGTGCTGGCGACGGGATGGTGTACATCAAACTGCCCCCTGTCGAGGAGCTCGACGCGGCGCTGGGCACGAAGAAGTGGATGGTGAAGAAGGGGGAGGCCGGGGCGGCGCCGTTTGAGGCGCTGGATAAGAAGATCCGGTTCAAGGGACACCGGGCCAAGAGGCCTGGTGTCAGGCCGATGGGGGCTTTGGGGATGGAGAAGGCGAGGGCGATGGTTGTTGGTGGTGGTGGGGGGTGTGGGAGTGCGCCGGATTGGTGATGGAGTGTTTGGATAGAAGGATGGGAGTTGATATATTGGTTGATCAAGGTATACAGGTTAGCAAATATGAGCGATGCTGGTTTTGAAGACATACAGTGCTGTTGATCAAGATGCTTTAGTTACTGCTTTATGGGTTGTATATTACTACCTTAGCCGTACTTTAACTAAGCAGAATACCGTGAATCGATTTGGATCTCTTGATTAAAACCTCTACTGATTCACATGAACATTATGTGCCACTTTCAAAGTCGCTGCGTCTCATAGTCAAGACCGAGCGACCTGGCGACAGGGGCTATATGAGAAGATCCCAGGGAGTGTAGAGTCTTTCAAATCAACCAACCGCATGCCTCCTCAACTGCGGACTGCGGCTTAGGCAGCAGCGGTGTGGGGCGTGGAAATACATCAGAATCACGCTGCTACAGGCTCGGTTGGCTGACAGCGGTATATGAGTCTATTGCTGAATACCGTTCATCCGTGAAAGCACAAGTCCTGAACGGTCATCCAGCAGTTCCCGGCTGACCTGGTAATCAACGTATTCGCTCACGGATACGTTGATGCGAGCACGTGCTGGTACAGAGAGTCTGGAGTCAAGGGATCACATGTGAAGGGGAAACAAAGAGAAAGATGCGGATTGCTCAGTGGTCAGAGAGAAGATATAGGGCTCGCTCAGAGACCCCAACTCAACTGTCTCTTTGTACTTTAGGACACAAAGATGGCTTTCGTGAGCGATTGATGCGGCGAAGATGACCGTCTTATAGGTACTCACTATCACAGAGGCATCAGGATGAGCACTATCGGCGTCACACTCACCTAAACTGTGAGACTTCAGCACAACATTCCCTGTCGAGGCGTGAAATTGTTCTGATATGCAGTGAGAAAAAACCGATGACTTGTTAGGAAGGAGCCATACAGTCAACTGCTCCGTAAAGTCACCCACTGGGTTCTCTATATAGGGTACCTAATTGCTTCATCTGTCACCATCGGATGAGGAGATGCCTTGGCGCAATAGTTGGGACTGCCCACTCCCGACCTCAACGCTAGGTAATTGACCCCGGTGCTTTTTGTTTTGGAAGGTCTCGAGTTCGAATCCCCCTAGTAGAAGCTTTTTTGTTGGGCTGTATTGTATGTAGTGCGCATGGGGTTGGATGCGGTTTGCTGACCTCGTGGAGATAAGGTACGCGGCTTTCATATAGCTGCAAAAGAGAGTTTTGGAATGATTCAGACCAAGTTACATTCAGGTTCTTGGAGGAGTCAGCAAATGCCCGGAGCTATCAGCCTTATAGCGAAATGTTCAGATTGCGTTCGAGCCTTTGAGTGTATTAAACCTCCGCGGCTGTACGGCAGCGCGGCACTCGTCGAGGAAGCCTCGGATTCGCATTAGTGAGACCGCATTCGTATCTCCCGCTGCTTCAGCGGTCCCACCCGCGGTTCCCCTACAGTCTTAGCGTGACGACTAGCGGTTTGATCTGCAAGAGATTCCCCAGCAGCAGCAGCAGCAGCCCGGCAGTGCTTGGTCAGGTTCCTCGTTTACCTCAACGGGGGCCCTCGTAATTGACTTACGAAATCTCCCCGTATTCGGCATGTACCGGCCCTTATTGGATAACAAACTTCGTAGCCAGTGCACTTTGGTGCGTTCGCATTCTCTTTTTCTTTTCATTGTCCTCCCTCATTTCTCTCCCGAGTCCTAACCCTTTTCCAACATTTCACCTGTCCCCCGCCCCTTCTTACGAATCCGAACCCGCTTCAACACTGGACTTCCACTCCCACGGAATCCACGGTGTCTCTGTCACTCCCCCAAGAGAATCCAACCAACGGTGAACCTGAACATACCCCTTGTTCACCCTTGCCCGTGCCGGCATCATCGCGCGCGCCGGCCATGGAGAAGCGTACAAGACGCCTAGGACACAAGAAATCGAGGAACGGATGCCAGCGCTGTAAAGCACGTCGTGTCAAGGTACGATAAGGTCCCTCTGGTGTGTGTGTGTGCTCAACACAACTCTGTTATTGCTCTATGTATTAGCCAAAAAACTCATGTCTTATTTGTGTGTGTGTCTCGTGTAGTGTGACGAGGAACGGCCGTGTCAGAAGTGTGTTGCCCATGGGGCACACTGCAGTCTCCTCGATCGTCCCGCATCGGTAACGGCCCCTCTCACGCCACCCGCCGCAGCCAAGCTTGCCCAGCATGAACAGCGATACGCGCCTATTCAGCAGGCCGCGCCGGCGGTGACGGCCTCGTCAAGCTCGTCCTCGAAGCAGTCAAGTCATGGCATGCAAGAAGCGGCGAGTGAAGCAGGTCTCACCCCCAACACTGCAGGTATGATATGATCAAAACCCAATCTCACATCACAGATCCTTGGCATCAACCTCTTCGGACTCAACAATTAACCTCGTCTCCTCAGTGAGCAGCACTTCTCCCTATCCTGGGGGTGAAGCGGCGCCAGACCCGCGCAACCCCGCCACGGATCCCTGGGATCTCTCGGAGGATTGGCTACAGAGTTTACGCCTGATGCACCACTACAGCACCAGTACCCGGCACGTCCTGCCAAAGGATGCCTGTACCGAAGAGCTCTGGAAGACGGCTATACCCGAGATGGCCTGCTCTCACGTATGTCAGAACCTTAGCCCGACAGGCCAACTATGCTTCCATTCCACACACCCCTTCTACTATCATGAAGACATAGTGGGCAGAATGGAAAGAGGAGAGATTTGCGAACTAGTTCGTCTAACACGACCATAGAAATTCTTAATGCACGGCCTGTTGGCCTTGTCCGCCCTCCACTACGCCCATGTCCACCCGCAACAGCGGAAAAAGTACGACATCATCTCGGTGAACCACCAGAATGAAGCCCTGCGCTTCTTCGCCCTCCGTTTAAACGACATCAACAAGGACAACTGCGAGGCCTACTTCTTCCTCGCGACGCTCATCTTCATCGTCAGCATCTGCTCCGTCGCACATAGCGAGAGCTTCGGTAGGTCCATCGCCCTCAGCGACGTCTCGCAATCCTTCTCTCTCCTCCACGGCGTAAAGGGCATCCTCGACTTCCAGCCCATAGAAGCCTGGAGGCAGCGCGGGGGTCCCCTCGATGGCCTGCTGCGCCCACCCGTACTAACGCAGGGCGGTTGGGTGTCGACGTCGGTGTTCCAGAAGCGCCTCGATGTCATCACCTCGCTGGCGAGAGAGGTGCCCGCGTCCTTCACCGACGTCATCAATCCGCAGTCCGTATGCGTGCTGGCGCTGGAAGGCTTGCGGAGGGCGCACCAGATGAGCAGGGGCGAGGGGGAAAAGCCCGGCGGGGTGTGGGGGTGGTCAGCTACCCTGCCCGCCATGTTTATCGACATGGTGGCCAGCGGGCACCCTACGGCGCTCGTCATCCTGGCGCACTATGCCGCTTTGGCAAAGCCGTGTGAGAAGGCCGACTGGCTTTGTGACGGGTGGAGTGGCGCGGTGATGCGCTTGATTGAGAGGACGTTGGAGGATGAGTGGAAGCCGTGGATCGAGTGGCCGAAGCGCAGCGTCTTTGAGAGGATTGACGTTGATGATATGGAAGTTTGAATTGATACCCCCATTGTTGATATCTCGTCTATAAAAAATCCCAAGAAAACGAATATCAAAAAGTAGCCGATTCCAGAAGCATCATAAAGATCATCGGCACTATGTACATTGGATGCTGCCAAATACTAGATGACTTTTCTGTCAAGGAGTCCCGAGGACGCGGGCAGGGTGGTCCATGGCCTCAAAAGTAAATCGCTCGTTACTCCGCACTCTTCTCGGGTGAAAGCAACGTTTTGTTGCAAAAACTTCATTCCCCTCAAATCTCGTATCCGTATCCGTATCACAACTTCCGCTTCCATGATGCCATTTACAGCTTTCTGATCATGATTGTCTTTTTGGGATCTGGAACAGTCTAGAAGTCTACGTCAGCATCGCTCATCCCATTTGGCAGGGCATTCATATCCCCCCAGATCGAGGCTCAGAAAAAGGGGGAAAAAAAGAACTCAAAACTCACAGAAGCGCCAAAAGCCAAATTCTCATATCTCTCCGTCACCCCCTCGGGCAACTTGATCTCGTAATTGCAAATGATATTCGCCATAATCATCTTGATCTCGTTCACCGCGAAGAACCGTCCGGGGCACGCGTGTTTGCCGTAGCCGAACGTCAGGTGCGTGGTGCCGACGCTGACGAACTGGGCCTGCATGACGACCTCTGCCGCCTTGGTGCCCGAGGTGGCTAGCTCTTTTGCCTCGCGGAGCTTGTAGAAGCGTAGGGGGTCGAACACCTCCGGGTCCGGGAAGATTTCGGGATCGTTGTTCATGCCGCCTGCGGGGACCTCGATGAACATTCCTTCGGGGATGGTTTGGCCGTTGGGGAGGGTCACGTTTTTGAGGACTTTGCGGGTGAAGGATGCTAATGGTGGAAAAAGGGGAACGTGTTAGTTTTGGGAAACCGGACGGAGAAAGCCAGGTGTATGGTTTCTAAGGTGTGATACGTCGAAACATACCTGCTGAAATCGGGTTGACGCGCATCACCTCCTTCAGGAAACTATCCAGCTTCTTCATATTCTGCAGGGCGCTGCTAGAGAAGTTCCCACCAGACTCAGCAAGAGCCGCCTGAATATCGTCCCGGAGCAAGGAATTGATCTCAGGCTTCGCCGCGAGCCAGTAAATCGCATTCAGCGTCGTCATGGACGTCGTGTGAATCGCAGCAAAGCTGACCCCCAGCTGCGCCATCGCCATCTCGCGATCGCTCAGCTCGCCAAACTTGGGCTGCGCGTTGAGGAGCCACTGCAGCATGTCGTCCGGCTCGCGGTAATCGTCCCTCTTCGCCGCTTCCTTGCGGGCCGTCACGATGGGGCGGAAGACGGCCTCGGCGTCGGCGATGCGCTTGTAGAGCTTCTTGGTGGTGGGCAGCCAGGAGGCGACAAAGGGGCGGAGGAAGGAGGGGACGAAGGCGATGACGTGGACTGCGGTCATGAGGTCTACGGTGTAGGAGATTGAGGCGTCGAGGTAGCGTTCGTCGCGGCAGAGCTCGGAGCCGATGAAGACACGGCCCGAGACCATCGCGATGATGCGGAGGAGTTTGGCGTTGATGTTGATTTCGGTCCAGGCGGGGGATTGGGGGAGTTCGAGGCGCATTGAGTCGATGACTTCGTCTGAGATGCCTTCGTTGAGGCGGGCTGTTTTTGAGGGGGGATGTTAGCTGGGGGGAGGGGGTCCTGCGGGGGGAGAAGGTCCTTGATATTGGGTGGATTAGGGGGTTTACGAACGTAGAGCTGGGGTTAACGAGGCTCTGACGGCGTGGATGATGATGGGCATGTCGTTTGAGATTTGGGTGTATTTGACTTGCATGGACTTTGGCCAAGTCAGCTTTCTGGAGTATTGTAAGATCTAGGGGTGGGCTCTTCGGTACCTCGTCAATGGCCTTGGTGAAGCTGATGACATCGTCGGGGACCTTCTTCAACTCGGGGAGGTACTTGGGAGGCACGCAAATGGTATCCTTCTCTAAGGCGTGTAAGTCAACGTGAGTCCGTCGTTAACAATAATCTTGACCTATTTCTGCAATACTCACTCTTGGACGTTGTGATGCGGAAAATGCTGTCCTTGAACTGCTTGTACCCGTCCGCGTACATCTGCGGTCCCTTGCCCGCCAGAAACGCTTTCCTGCGCGCCCATTTTCCGCCCTGGCCCACGACGGGAACATGGGCCACGGGGTCGACCTTGAACCAGCTCTGCGCGAGGAGTGCGAAGACGATGAAGACGAGGCCGGCTGTCGCTGCTGGCCAGTGTTGAGGGTCGAACGTAGTGCCTGCAGCGGCGACAGGGTCGGTTGCGTTTGCCATGTTTTGTGTGGCGAGGGTGGGCCTTTCGAGTTACGAGTAGGTAGGTAGTGGGAGGGAGACTAGTTGTGAGGGCCTGAGAGTACGGACGAACTTGGATGATGATGAAGGGTGTCTAGTCTTTATGTAGTCGTCTCATCGTCGACCACACACCTATGCACCTCCACACACGACGGTGCAACGGTGCGTATGGGTTCGCATAGGAAACCGGTAAGTAGGCCATGTTGTTGCTTGTCCATCGCTAGCCTAGCCCCTGGCTCGGGGTCCAGCGCGACTATGACGCTTAGGGAGGGAGACGAGTTGTATGCTAAAATCACCTCCCACATAAGCGTAATTCTTGCTTCTCTGATTAGAGACTACGGTGCCAGGGCTCCACACTGATGGAGCTTGGTAGACGGTAACACTCGCGTAGGATATGCCTAGCTGCCGCGATGTCTGGCAATGCAGATCGATGGTGGTTTTGGCGCGGGGGGTAGGGGTGACTGTGGTTGACGATAGGTGTGGTTAACGGGTGTCAATGCATGGATGATCGGGTTCGTGTTCGCATTGTGGGGCCGTCTCGTATGGGAAACACGCTGGGACGAACCAACATTCGTCTCAGATTGCACCGCCTAGACGGATCGGGGCCCGGAGAGTAAGCGCCGAGTGGCAAACCGGATCAATTTTGTGGCCGGAGGCCGGTACCTGAGATCCGGTTCCCGTTCGGAAGCAAGAGTCGGCGGCCCCACATCTGTGGAAAAACGTACCTCAGTATGTCATCCGGTCGTCTCACAAGGTCAAAGGATGTGCTTACCTAAGAGATCTGTAGATCACGTGAGCTGCCTCATTCTGCCCCGAATGACAGACGGTGCCAGCGGGAAACGGCACTGCGGCCGCCAAGCCCCTCCGATTCGCCATTTCTCTACCCCTTTGTCCAGAAACAGACCTTGAAGGACTTGGTCGCGAACATGCTTCATTGTCATACCTAACGCAGCGTATTTACCGCCCAATTTTGATCACCAAGCATCTGAATGCGGCCGATGGTTTTTTCCCATGTTTCGCGACACAATGCAGCGCTTATCCGAAGATGACACGTGAGCAGTCAGGTGCAGGCATGATTTCGGGAATAAGATTGACAAGGCTACCACTTTCTGCGCCCGATCCTTCGTTACATTAACCAATTGACGCTTCGTTACATTGCCCAATTGACGAATTGAAACCGTGAGAACCTTTGGAGCGGTGAGTTCCGGTACTAGTACCCGATTTTCCAACCTCACTCCGTTATCTGTGCCTCCCCCCCGCCGTACAACCTGCGCAGTAAGACATAACCACCACCCCGCCCCGCGGTTTGGGAGCTTGATGGTATCACAACCACGCTCCGGGTTCCACACTTCTCAGACGGCGGCAATCGCTGCCAAACTTTTATCAGAAAGATGAGTAGCTTTGTAGACCTGGACGGCGGCGGCGGGCTGCCGTCTAGTGGTTTGCCGTACTATAGCTATGTCGCCTTCCAAGATGTCCTCGCCGGCCCGTCTCACCTTCACTCTCCATCACACGCAAAGTTCCAAGCAGAGAACGCGACGACGGCGAAGATCCTAACTACGGCACAACTTTTCAATGCTTCCAGAGTCATGGATATCACCAACATTGTCCGCGCCTCGGTCGCGGTAGTGCTGCTGTTCCTCGTTCTCCTGAGGCCGCTTCTTCGCAGGAGACCCGCGTGGTGCTCTGGCTTTGCCCAGGAGTCTTCGTACGGGGATACGACACATCCATCTCTGAAAAAGGCCTGGACGTTCTGGACAGTCTACCTCTTCGCGGTTACGCTGGCTGGGCTGGTTCAGGGCGTGTCTTCTACTCTCGCACAACCACGCCGCGTTTTTGACTTACTAGACTTGGTGCCCTGGATTGTTGCCGCTCTAATCACCACCATGGACCGGCCTACCAAGACGCCCAAGACGCTATTGTTTCTCTACCTTACGATCCTGTCTTGTGGCGTTGTCTCGACGGCATTCAGTTACAGACTCCACAGACTAGTCCATACGCTCATCCTAGCGGACCCGGTCATCAGCATGGCCGGCATTATTGGTATTGTAGCCATGCCGATGCGGGACCCATCGCTCGGCGACTCTGACATTGCGCGCGCCGAACCCACCGACCAGCTCCGCAGTCCCGAAGACAACCTCTCTCTGTGGAGATTCATGACCGTGTCGTGGATGGCGCCCATGATTTCAAAGGGCTATGAGAAGCAGCTGCATAACGAGGATGTGTGGCAACTGCCGTTTGATTTTCAGCATGAGCGCCTCCACGGGCTATTCCACGAGCTTCGTGGGTCCATGACTGCCAAGCTGTTCTCGGCAAACGGTCTAGACTTGATCATTCAGTCGTTTCTTGGAATCATTGAATGCGCTGCTGCGCTCTCCGTCCCCATGTTGCTGCAGCAGCTCCTGAGGGCCATCCAAAGCGGGTCCAAGAACATTGAAGTGTCCATCCTGTACGCCATTGGCATTTTGGCCGTTCGTCTTATCGCCTGCCAGGCTGCCGTTTTCCAACTCTGGTTCTCGAGACGCTGCTATGAGCGGTCTCGCGGAGAGATGATTACCACACTTTACGCCAAGACCTTGTCGCGGAAACACTTTGGTCAGCCGGCTGCCGAGAAGATGTTGAATGGAGCCCAGGAAGACGGAAACGATGAGAGCGACGACGATGATGAAGATACGGAAGTCGCTACCGATGACAATGAAAGCGGCAGCGAACCCACCAGCCGGTTCGGGAAGCTGTTCGGATGGTTCAGACGTGGACGATCAACAAATCAAAAGTACCGCCGGGTACAAGATCAGAAACCATCGAGGCAGCCTGCTACCACTGGAAAGATTCTCAATCTGATGAGAAATGACGTCTACGAGGTTGCCCAGCGCTTCTGGGAGTTCCCGGCACTGGTCGTGAAACCGCTCCAGTTCATCTTCTCCTTCTTCCTCGTCTGGCAGCTCCTTGGCTGGTCGTGCATGTTTGGCATGCTCTGCGTCTTGCTTGCTCAAATGCTTAACACCGTCTTCATCACCCAGCTTCTCAAGAGGGAGCGCGTGCGCAGGGCTGCCACTGATGCTCGGTTGCAGTCGACGTCCCAATTTGTCGAAGGAATAAGGCACTTGCGATGGTACGACTGGCAGTCAAAGTGGTTGGACGCTATCATGGTCACTCGACGACATGAACTGAGGACGAGAGTCGTGACTGGATTGTGGAGCATCGCGATTTCCACACTCAACATCACCTCTGGCACACTTTTCCCGGTTGCGACCTTCTTCGCCTATACGTTCATTGCCGGAAAGACTCTCTCCGTTGATGTGGCCTTTCCCGCTCTATCCCTCTTCACTCTGCTAGAGACTAGCTTCAAGGAGCTGCCGGGGCTCATCACAGTTGTTCTCAATGCATCTATCGCCATGGGCCGTATCGAGGAGTTCATGAGCGAGCCGGACAAGGATGGCGTGTTCTCGGACCACCTCACAAACGATATCAAGTTCACAAAGGCAACATTTGCATGGCCCGGATACGAGCAACCCGTGCTTAGAAATCTCGATATCAGCTTCCCGCAGGGCCTTACGGTCATATTTGGCAAAGTCGGCTCTGGCAAGACCGCATTACTGCAGGCGATTCTCGGAGAACTCGACCGGCAAATAGGCGATGTGGTCATCCCAACTGAGCCCATTGGGTACTGCGCTCAAAGCCCTTGGCTCCAACACATGAGCATCCGCGACAACATCCTTTTTTCAGCACCCTTTGACTCCGCGAGATATACCCAGACTCTTGATGCGTGTGCCCTGCTTCCCGACTTGGCCACATTCAAACATGGAGACCTGTCCGATATGGGCGAGAACGGAATCGGTCTGTCGGGCGGACAAAGGGCGCGGGTTGCGTTGGCCCGTGCTGTGTACAGCCGGTCTCGCGTGCTGTTGCTGGACGACCCTCTCGCTGCTCTGGACCATAACACGGCTGAATCCATCGTAAAGAAGCTCCTCCAAGGCCCGCTGGTGGAAGGCCGGACCGTGGTGCTTGTCACTCACAGAGTAGACTTGTGTCTTCATCTCGCTGGCCAGATGGTGGAAGTGGTCGACGGCACCGCTCGTGTCTTGAACTCGGAGGAGGCATCGGCAGAAGTCGCCAAGTTTCTCCTGGAGGACGAGGATCCGGCTGCTCACCAGGACGAGCATGAGCACACCCTCGACGAAACTCAGCAAGACGCCGCCATACCGTCCAAGTTTATCGAAGAGGAGCACCGCGCCCACGGCGGCGTCATGTTGTCGGTTTACTGGACCTATATCAAGGCTGGCAAGCTCAAGTGGTGGGCTGTGTTGGTGTTGGTCTTCGCATTGTTCAGACTGGGCAGTCTCCTCAACTACTGGTTCCTCAAAGCTTGGGGTGAAGCGTACAAGCACGAGATATCGACAAAGGGAGCGTCCGACGGCATTGACTTCTCCAAGCTTTTTGCTGGGCTCCCGGATCCAGACACCGATCTGAGGCCCTGGCTGTGGGTGTATCTCGGAATCGCGGTCACTCAGGCTGTGATTTACACGTTGTCTGAAGGACTGACCTTACTCATGATCATTACCGCGGCAAGGGATCTCTTCAAGAGGGTCATCAACAAAGTCGGCCGTGCAACTTTCCGCTTCTACGACGTTACTCCAGTGGGGCGTTTGATGAACCGCCTCGTCTCTGACATTGGAATGATCGACGGCGGCATCATGAGACCGCTACGCGAAGTTGCTGTTCAGTCCATCACTTGGTTCTCAAGCATGGTCGTCATCGCCTCCGTCACACCACTCTTCCTCCTCTTCTCGGTTGGTATGACGCTCTGGTTCGTCTACATCTTTATGCGATTCCTGCCCACTTCTCAGAGTCTACGAAGGCTCGAAATGGTCTCCCTCAGCCCTCTCATGTCTAACTTTGGTATCTTGCTCGACGGGCTGGCAACCATCCGCGCCTTCAAGGCCCAGCACCACTTCCAGAACATGAATATTGTCGTCACGGATGCCTTCCAGAAGATGGATCACTTCTACTGGAGTCTTCAAGCCTGGCTCATGTACAGATTCGATGCCCTCTCCGCCATCTGTACCTTTGCGCTCACTCTGCTTGCGCTGTACAAGGGCCTCTCGCCCGGTTTGACCGCCTTCGTCTTGACGACTGCGTCCGCATTTGTCGAGGCAACACATAACCTCTGCAAGCAATACGGCACCCTGCAGATGGACTTTGTCTCCGTCGAGCGCGTGATTGAGCTTCTGGACATTCCCGAAGAGCCTTGCGGCGAACTGACGCCGCCCACGAGCTGGCCTCACCACTCGGACGACGTCATCTTTGATAACGTCACTTTGAGGTACGCACCTCACCTGGACCCTTCGATCTCGGAAGCCTCCTTCACTATCCCTGGGGGCTCCACTTGCGCGGTGCTCGGCAGGACGGGGTCTGGTAAGTCCACCCTGGCCCTCGCCCTCCTCGCGACCATTCACCCTTCCGAAGGCGCCATCCGCGTCGGAAACTACAAGCTGTCAGACGTAGACGTTCATGTGTGGCGGCAACGCGTCAGCTTCGTCGCGCAAGATCCTGTGCTCTTCCCCGGCACGCTGCGGGACAACCTCGACCCGCTACACCAGTACACCGATACCGAGTGCGTGGTCGTCCTCCACCGGGTCCTCGGCGCCGGGTGGGACCTGTACTCCCACGTCGAGGGCGGCGGGAAGAACCTGAGCCAGGGACAGCGGCAGCTCATCGGGATCGGCCGGGCCGTCCTCCGTAGGAGCCCTATTGTGGTGTTGGACGAGGCTACCGCGTCGATTGATAAGGAGACGGCGGCTAGGGTGCAGGAGGTGCTGAGGAATGAGTTGACTACGAGCACCGTCATTACGATTGCGCATCGGCTTGAGGCTGTCCAGGATGCAAACTACTTTATCCGCTTGGACAAGGGGAAGATTGTTGAGCATGGCCCGGCGCAGGGGATTCATCAGTGAGGAGTTGGTAGTCTTTCTGCATTTTGTTTTCTGGATGTTGTTTGTCCGGTACCATACTATAAAAGCTTCTATTGTCCCTGTTGTGGCTCGGGCTTTAGAGTACGTTTGAGAAGAAATGGCCACAATCCATGAGTCCCAATGAGTCCCCATGAGTCCAAAAACTGTCGACTTCGGTTATAGAAAGCTCGCGATTGTGATGGTTATCAAGCCAGGTCTCATGTTTGCAGAGTATCTACGAAGTCGGGGCTTGGCTCAGCAACAGACGGTTGTATCGGCTCGAGGCTTTAGTCTTGAGGCCCCATAAGGCTTGGAAGAATACGACATTGAGGCTTGTGAGAGTCTGAGTGGACTGACTTGAATAACGCATTGCGGTATAGCCATCGCCCCCCATAAACTCCAGACGTGATCTGTGCAGGACACCCCTGCCATCCCATGTGTCAAAGTGATGAACCAGTCGGGTCCTCCCGAGTGCTGGGTGTGTACGAGGAGCCTTACGACTGGAACAGTCCATTTTGTCCGAACTCCTTCGCGGGTGGACTTAAGGAGTTGCATGGCCCTCATTTGCCTCTGTGAGAAATGCAGAAGAATAGTTGGCATTTCGACACCTTTTACGAAGTCGTCCGTGTTCATTTGAAAGAGCTGCCGCTTAGCCGACTTAGTCGCCGCCTCGCCTGGTCATCTCACGATAGTATACAACTCTGTATACTATGGAGTTTTAGGGTTTTCTTCGTTTTCGCTTGCCGCGCGCGGCCCCCCGAGTGAAAAATGTCTTGATGAGGCTCTCCCTTCCCCGGCACGGCCGGCCGAAAAGGCCACCGATTGTGGACGCGGGCTACGGGGAGGGCGAAAAGTGCGAAAAACTCTAAACCGGGGTTTGCGAACTTGCGTGAGTCGTGATCCCGGCACCACGCCAGTACGCCTCCTATTTTCAGACGCGTTGCTCCGCCACGACTGGATGAATTGCAATTAACTCAATTCCAGCCTTTCGGTTCGCCAAGCGGGGGAAGAGAAGACGACTAGGTATTCGTAGCTAGGGGAGACGAAGGAGGTCAAATGGCGATTGTGTATTTAATTACACGATGGTTCCTCTGCCGATTCTAGAATTCTTCCTTTTTTCTCCCTCACCCTCATCAATCGCTTCGCTTTTGGATTTACCAAATTGCATCGTCTCTCACTTGAGTCTCTCACTCTTTCGTGTTTGTTTTTCCCACACATTCTTTTTTCTTAACCAGTCACCACATTCTTTCGTTGTGCTTTAACAAAACAACCTGCCAAAATGCACTTCAACAACGCCCTCATGGCCGCCGTCGCCGTCGCCGGCTCGGTCTCCGGCCTCGCCGTCCGCCAGACCCCCATCTGGCAGACCCTCCCCGCGACCCCGAACCTCCCCACCCCCATCTCCACGGCCAAGACGGCCATCAACGGCATCCAGATGTGGTTCCAGGAGTACAACAAGGCGGCCGGCGGCGTCCCCATCGTCATGGACCACGGCGGCCTCGGCTACTCTGCCTACTTTGGCTCCGTCATCTCCCGCCTCGTCTCCGCGGGCCACTACGTCATCGCCGTCGACCGCCGCGGCCACGGCCGCACGACGTACAACAAGGACGACGTCTTCACCTACGACCAGATGGCGCTCGACATCCACGACCTCCTCGCCGGCGCCGGCGTGTCCTCGTACAACGTCGTCGGCTGGTCTGATGGTGGCATCACCACCCTCGCGGCGCTCATCAACTCCGTCACGGCCAAGCCCATCAACAAGGCCTTCATTTTCGGCGCCTCGGCCAAGCCTGACCAGACCAACGCTACCTTCAGCGACACTGCCATCTTCTCTACTCTGGTCGCCCGCTGCAGGACCGAGTACGGCACCCTCCAGCCCGGAGCCAACTTCACCGAGTTCGCGACCAAGGTTGCCACCATGGAGGGTACTCTGCCGCAGTTCACCGATGCTCAGCTTAAGAGCATTCCTGGTGCCAAGGTCATGATTGCCGGCGCCGAGCACGAGGAGGCTGTCAACCGCGATGTCCCCGGTATCTTGAACAAGGCTATCCCCGGCAGCAAGGTTACCATCCTCACTGGTGTCAGCCACTTTGCGCCCATGCAGGACCCTGACCAGTTCACCAAGGCTGTTACCGACTTCTTCAAGGCATAAGGGAAGAGCCTTTCAGCGGTTGTTTGTTTTGATTTTTACCTGTTCTTTTATTTATAGAGAGAAAGTCTCGGGACTTGGGAGGCATTTGTGTTGTAGAAAAGCCCATCGGCGTAGCACTGATGAGATAGCTTGAATCCAACGACTGGAAGAAACTCTACCGTTCCAAACAATGAATTGAATATGACATGCTAAAGAGAATTACAAAGAAAAAATTGAGATAAGAGCACAGTCTGAGACTTGGCTCCGGAGTCATTGTCGGTTGCCACTGTCAAGGATTCGATTCCAGGAGTCAATATAGACCCAATCGAGATTCCTAGCTGAAATTCATCTGGTTACTGAAGAAGTCTGCTCAGCATCAATACGATGCAGCTGGTGAGTTCTTTCGTCAAAGTCCTTCAGATCACGAGGGGCAGGGTATTGCCGAAGGGTTCGGAAAACAGGCCGTTCGGGGATGACCTTGCCCTGTGTCTTGGCTAAATGAGCTGCCATTGCCGTAGCGTGACTTTCTACTGGGAAGGGATCTGTCGAGGTGTGCGCGAACTAGTAGGCGTCCTGGGCTGCACGAGATGTTTAGTAAAATACTTGTTTACCTTCTTTCTTCGAAGAGGGGCTATTTTTCACACACTAGCGATATTGGCGGGTTCTCGGTCGATATGTAGCCTTCTGCGGCTACACTGAATTCCAGCGGTATACTACTTAGTCGGACTCATAGCTGCGGGTAGACCTAAGTTAGTGTGCTTGGACTTACGTCTTGGAGCAGTCATCAGTTTGGAAACCAGTACGACACGATCTCCTATCTCAACACAACTTGAAGTCCTACTTGCGCGGCCACTTTGAGGGACAATGATTGCAGAGCCAAATCTCATTTCAATTGAGAGGAGTTCGGCAGGAGAGGATTATGGAGATCAACCATTACACAAATTGTCTGACCAGATGAATGTGCATTGTTTACTGACACGAATAACTGGTATATGGTTCACGTATTTCAGTCTAATCACATATGCATGATTGCAACAGTTTCTAGTGAAATGCCCATGAACGTGTAGAGTTGGCGTCAAGTACTCCGTAATTACTATGGAAATGCTTCCAAGTCCCCACATGTCAGTCATGGCTCTGTTGCTTTAACACAGCTGGCGAATATGCCTTATCAGAACCTTTTACTTCAATGCCCCTCCACTTAGGAACCCAGTAGACTTTCATCTTATATCCACGATTGTGTACTTCGAACTCTCATTTTGTACTCGAGGTAGGAAACTTCTATGACTGCTCGCAATTGAACGACTTACTGAAGTAACTTTTGAGTTTCCTGGGAAAATAGATCAAGGAAGTTGACTTTTGTTTGGCGAGACTTCTTAGTCCGTCTGCGCCATTCAATCCAGAACCATATTCCAGCAGGGACGAATGTCATGAACATAAGCGGGAGAGTGACTTGAAGAAATCTATCCAAAGCTATCTGCGAGAAGATCTCGCCTTGCTGATATTTGACTACATCAGTGCTGAAGAATGTCTAGCTGACGGTCAGTTATATTACGCAATCATTGATTTTGAGGGAGGCCTACGCTGGAGAAGGTTGCTGGAAGGTAAATCAAAGTTACAATCGTTACAATGCGAACCGCGATTGCTTCCATGGCACTTTGATCTGCTTGTTCGTACATACTTGCAGTAAGCTTTGAGGATATGATGGCGTTCTGTGTTTGAAGATGTTGGATGAGCTGTGATAGGTTTCTGGTCAGTCTAGTACAATGCTTCAACCTGGCTAGGTGGCTCTTACAATTGTTTTTCGGTCGGCTACCACCTTCACGAGATTCTTGGTCCTTGATATTTGCATATTTGCTTCGCAGATTAACTCCTCTAATTGCGAGGCAAACTTCTTCACTCGTTGCAAGCATACGTGACGGTCTCCTTTTGGAAAGTTCTCGTCCTTCAGCAAGTCTCGATAGAACTTTTGTAGCAACTTCATGATGTTGGCATTGGACTCCAAGGCCATCACGGCATCACTAGCCTTCTCTTCCCACTTCTGTACGTCACTGAGAGATTCCGGCTCTAGGTGTTCGATGTGTGCTCTCTCTCTGACCCGAGCTGGCTTGGTCTGGAATTTTTGAATTAGCAGGGAACTATGTCGGATAGTCGAGGTTTTCAAAAACTTACCAATTCTTCCGCGCCCTGCTCAAGGAACAAAATATGCCATCGCCACTCAGAGGCTGCCCATTGTGCGAATTCGAGATGTATGTCCAAGGAGGATGCAAAGCTTTGCTGCATTGTGCTGAAACTGGTTGGGAAGCTGTGCCCTTCTGGGAATATCTCCCCTGTACGCTCCTTGAGCACGGCGTGGGGGTCTCCTACAATCCACATCTGGGAACCCCGGCCGATGTCAAATTGATGATGGACAGCCGCTTGACGAATCTTCCAGCCTACCCTGCTCTTCTGCGCTACAGTCTTGAGATTGAAACAAAGCTGATATCTTCTACCGCTCCTCCCCAGCTCTGGTATGACAGTGTCCGAGATCGGGTTGCTCAAGACTGTCTCTGTTTTGAACCCGCTAAAACGAAGTTCTTTGTCTCTACCATGTGGCGATGCATATATAGAAAGGAAATCCAAGAATTGAGGCATGACTTGATAGAAAGTCAGTAGACGAAGCAACATTCTGACATGTACTTCTAAAGGCCCAAGTGCGGTTTCTGCACACAGATATCTATTGAAAGTCAGTCAAAACAGACCAATACCACCTGGAAAAGCCTACTTAGACACTAGAAATAAGAATAAGACTCACACAAAACGGCAGCGAAATTGTGGCGTTCGGATCAATGCGGAAGCATTACCACCTGTAGCTGTAGTCTCAGGAATTCCACCGAGGAGATTGCTCAATTCATCATCGTTGAAGACGTTGAGCTTTTCGACCTTTCCATCATCAAGTATGTCTCTTACTGGAAGTGTGACCTTCCTTCCGTCAGGGAGGCAAATATGCTCTCTGACTTCACTCAGTCTGCTTAGGGCAGCTCTGCCGTACGTTGTAGTTGCAAGGTATCCTGCGGGGTTGCGGTCGAAATCTTGATACAGTGTGGGAAAGTCTAAAGCTGAAGCCATGGTGTCTACTCCATAGATGTCTCTCTAGTTTAAGAAGGTTGGTAACCGAGGGTGTCTTCGACTTGTGAGCAATATTTCTGAGTGACTATGCGTAGCCATTCGATGCTCTCTCGCATAAGTGTCGAGGATATCCAACTCCAACTTGAAGGATGTGGACGATTTATTAGATCTTCTAATCCACCTTAAGATTCAGGATGCCCTGCCTCCCTGTGTGTGCCTAGGTCAGATGAGTGTTCTTCAGAAATTTTGACAATGCTCCGCCTCCCCGATGACCGAGGCTGACGCGAGGCTCTCCAGGCTATCTACCCATTCGCAACTCTCGTCCCTAGCCACCTTGCAGGGGCTGAGTGATCTCGATAGTGCGTCAGTGTCTTTCACCGAAGCCTAGCTTGGGATATTGGTGCCCTGCAGTGTGACCACATTTACGCGCCCGGGCTTACTGTGGCGTACCTCAAGCGGCTTGGATTGGACTGTACGGTGAGCACATGGACCAATCAATCTTGAGCAAGGGTTTACATTTTTCATTCCGAACTCATAATCTTTGGGTAATTTTGAAGAGAGGGTTCCATAGACATCGCCTCCGGCGCCTTCAAGAACAACTCAAGTTATCTCTCAATGGCACCCATCAGCCTATTCAGCCCCTTGAGCCCCCTCCAAAACCCGACTCAAAATGGTATCGTCGCTGAGTAAGTAATCGGAGGGTCCGGAGTTCTGGCTCTTGTCTCATTCTGCCTATCTTTGTCCTTCTTCGTTTTCTCTCGCAAATTCTTATCTATGTATGTTCGCTCGTGCTTGGCCAGATTAGCTTGTCGGGTGTCGTAGTGGCATAGGGAATCTTGCTACCTACATCCTGTAATTCCCGAGGCGCGTAAAAAATAAACTCATCATCTCGCAAGTTCTGAGAATGTGAGCTTTTCTTCTCTCCATCAATGTTCGTACATTGCGAAACCACTGTGATCAGAAACGAACCTGGCTTTCACTGAATTGGCCACCTTCCTTCTTGAAGATATCGCACAACCATTCTCGCAAGATGGGCCATCTCAGATTGTACGCATACACGGTCTCCAGAACCCATCCGCTTGGAGGCCGAAAGGTTGTAGCCCGCAGAGGTGCCGGCATGGTCTGGGTTGGCTCTGATCTTCTCCAGCTGAATCTTCTCGTCTGTGTGTGTGCTGTATTTTGCGAAGGCAACATGACAGTGGAAACCAAACTCCGTATCAGGCTGTCTTAAGTGATTATCGCGGCGAAGCGCAAACCAGCAAGAAGCAGGCTGTCGGGCGAATTCCCTTATAGGAGGTCGATTTGCCTCTTCAAAGCAGGCTGCGGCGGGGGCAGTGAACCAGGAGGGTGTCGAAATCATGGGGTGAAATTTCGTACCTCAGTCGCGGGTGGTGCTCTCTTATGAACCCACGGTCTGGCCAACAAAACGAGATCCAGGGCCTACCCTCGCGCAGGCAGGTGTCCGGGGCGAAAAAATCCAGCAGGCTGACAGCAGGCGTCCATCTGCCTTACATCGTCCATCTGCAGTGCCTTATGGTGAGCTCATACCGGATTATCCAATCAAAACAATGGCGCAACACCTTGCAACTTCACAAGACGCAATAGCCAGTAGCGAACTATGACTTGATCACCACCGTTGAGCCGCACCAGGGCAAGGATCAGACTTCGTGCTTCTCCGATCATGGGTTCTGGCGCTTGATCCCGCAGTTATTGAGCAGTGTTTCCAACCTGTTGATGCATACACGCTCTTGAAGCTTAGGCGACATCAATAGGTGAAGAGGAATTATGCGTGGAACAGGTGCAAAAGCCATCGAACTGAAACAGACTGTACATTATTCCATTACTTGGATACAGTAATGCGATTTCGATATTTGCAAATGATAATCTTGAGATTGCAGCTACGGTCAAGGGGCGCTTGAGTGCACGACGAAGATACGAGGAGTCATCAGAGAACGGGTATGACTTATCCTGACAGGAAAATAGGAAGTAATTATGAGTGCCAGGCAGCCGGAGGTGGTGTGATCGAAGCGTTGAGAAAAAGCAGGGGGGTATAATATGAGGAGGTGTGTATCTCTGGTCCGCGACCCTTCTTGTGATGGATGGTAAGGGCGAAATGTCAAGAGGGGGGTAAGGACATAGGACGTCCCCCTCAGGTGATAGCAGATCCTGCAGCCACCAGGTTGTACTTCTCACCCCTCTTGTCTCAAAACACCATGGTTATGTCGCTTTTCAGTCCCACGACTGTCCATCTTTCATGTACCTACGGTGATCTTTCTGAGTCATGCATCTAGATATTGATAGAATGCAGAACCAACAATTTTAGCGAGTGCAATGTATTCTGTGAGCAAACACTATGCCTGAACCTCGAGGTCATCTTGACGGTCACTGGCTATTGGGCAAAAAGCCATCCTGCATTTCTGCGAGGATATACGTGCAGACCTAGCTTGGGTTAGCTTCAGCCGCATATCCGTGAGTGAGGTAGCGGGCGCCCTCTCCCGAGCCTTTCTCCTGCAAAGGCTCAGTGCCCAGGTCGATACCATCACCCCTCGTTCCCAATTCACCCCGCCGGAGCCTTCTCTGTTCATATTGCACGTCCTTCCCCATATGACCTTGATCTGCCTCGCAGATTGATCTCCCTTCCTTAGTCCCTGTTCCGTTTTGTTTTCTCCACCAAATCCCGTCCCTGAACTTCTGTCACCCCGAACGTTCTTCAGTCTTACTATAGGTGCTGTCACGCTATAACACCTGCCATGTCCTCTGGTCAAGAAGCCTTTGCGCAGGAGTTCCAGACGGCTCTGTCAGAGTTCCGTAAGCTTCGCAAACAAGAGACGAGAGTTTCAGCTTGTGGGCAGAGCTTTGTTTTGGTTAGCAACGTCACAGCAAGGCTCACACAACAGTCTGTCAGCTGCTCAGATGATTACGAAAACGATCTAGACCGGCTCATACAAACAGCTTACCTTCGCGATGGACCTGATCCTCCGCAACTGCAACGGGATCACTACCATGAACACCTCGCGGTTTTCTACAACCTTCTAGATATCGGCGCCCCGAATCTTATCCACGAATTTTGGAACAACAAGTTCAACCTTCTTCCTATTGATCGCGACAACTTGCGAAATCACATACGAGCACCGCCTGGGCTCCCAAGCTTCCACGATGACTTCCATCGCAATCAATTTGCGTGGTGCCCAATTCATTTTAACATGGATATGGGTGGACCTCATGGGCTTGGCATAATCAGTCCATTTTCACGTAAGGAGATCATCATGCCGTACCGGGGCGGGAAAGTCCCTCGGGTCAACACTGCGACGTTATACTCCATCGACGTGCTCGAAGAGCTCGTAGGCCCAGAACTACAAAAGCAAATGGCTAGCGCTAAGATAGAGAGGCAAGAAGGCGGTGCTTGTGATGGAAGCAAAGGAAAGGTGTGTCGTCTTGGATATGTTATTCCGGAGTCGTTATGACTTTCAAGAACTAACGGCGAAACAGCGATACCGCTTTGCGTTAAAACAGTTTGAAGCAGCGAAGGAAGACCATTTTTTCAACGAGAGGCAGATGTTCAGAAACCTGAAGAATCAAGACGGGATGATACAGTACATTGGCTGGTTTAAAGGCTTTGAACCCGACAACAAGGGAGGGTTCAAAGAGTACTACAATATCGTGCTGGAGCTGGCAGATTTTGACTTCTATACGGCAATCCGCGAGGAATCGCCGCCGATCTCCGTCGCAGAAATTTCGGATTTCTGGCAAGCGATGTCAGAAATCTCAGGAGCTCTGGCATCGATACACACGGTGAAAATTGACGGGAGAGAGTATCTGACGTAAGTACCTCATCAACACAGCAGGCTACGCAAGGTACATTCTAAGCCTTCGAGTTTCCAGATGGCATGGCGATATCAAACCACAGAACATTCTTCGAGTCAATGACCGATTCAAATTGGCAGATCCTGGAGAAGCTAGCATGCAACTCAAGACAACTGGTACCACCGGACCTCAGAAGATCAAATCAGCTGGGGGCACAAGAACATATGGTGAGTTTGTCCCAGGGATATCTAAGAGCCTTTGAGAAGTCCCACCAGCTTTTGGGCCTTCAATGCGTAGCTGCGCTAACCAATACTGCTAGCGGCGCCGGAGAAGGCGGCTTTCTTGGATGGGTTCAGCCGGAAGAAACCAGACGTTCCTCAGACGAGCGATGTCTGGTCTCTTGGGTGTGTCTTCTCCATTGCAGCAACATACGTTGTTTTGGGCCAACAAGGAGTTCTCATATTCAATCAGTTGCGCAGAGAGGCTATTTTCAACGCAACGGAGAACTCTAGTGACGCATTCCACGATGGGAAGAATGTTCTAAAAGAAGTTCGTTACTGGCACACATATCTCAGAGAGGCCACTAGAAAGACCGATGCCTACACAAACACGGTTTTGGACATTGTGGACAACCACATGTTGGTAACGAGTGAGTCTCGATGGACGGCCAAGCAAATCTGGGAAAAGTTTGACGGATTCTTCGACAACATCAAAGCTGAACGATCTGCCGTTCCAAAAGGCTTACATGATCTACTTCAGAACATTGATCTCCGCTCTGAACAGCTGTACGACCAGCATTCAGGAATCCGGAGAGTCGATTCCGACGACACCAGTAAAACACCCAAGGTGGTACCAAGCTTGCCCCGTACCGACATAGAATTCGAAAGCCGGGAGAAGCTTTTGGAACAAGTGATACAGCCAGTTGCGCAGCGATCACAGAACCGAAATGGGTCCCCCTCACAATCAAGACACCCGTCAATCAGTTTCCATCCTGCTCTGAACACCAGGATCGATGATCAGGAGTTTCCGAGAGAGGTTGGAAAACAGAGTGCTACAGCCCAGCAGCTGCCCAAGACACCACAGAAACATGGTATCGACCCGCCATCAACTCCAGATCAGTCAAGCCTCTCTTCTCCGCCTTCCAACCAGAGCCACAATCGGAATTTGATTACAGTATGGCAGGTCGAGCAGGAGCTTGAGAAGAATGGTCTAGAGTGGAGGCCTTCTATCAGAAGCTTCAGATCGCTAGTTCAAAAACAGGAGACGACAATCAGAGGCAAGAGCAACTTCGAGCTTTTGGATCAGCGCTTGGAAACCGAGTTCAAGGACCGAGACATCGTAAGCCCAACCGTTCCAGCTGATCTTCTCTTTCATTAACATAGTCAGGTCTATCTTGTTGACAATGGATCAACGATGTCAGACCATTGGAATCAGGCGAGTGCCCTCCTCAGGGTCCTCGTCTGGCGGTCGATTGGATATGACGACAATGGCATGGAACTGTACTTCACGAATCCCGACACTCCAGCCCATGCCAGTATCAGAGAGACGGAGAAACAGACAGTCAGCATGTTCGTCACATCCATGAAGCATGCCAAGCCGAGTCAGTCGCATCGTGTTAAGACCACAATCGTTCCGGAACTCGCTCGTATCATCAACGGCTATACGAGAGCGATGACTTCGCAACGCCCACCACGCCCACCACGTAAGAAAACCATCATTGTGCTTACTGATGGGATATGGGAGGGGATGCAGATGGAGCACACTATCGATATTCACCTGAGATCAACTTTCCATGAACTGAAAGACCTACATGGGGACTTGCCCTATGTGCAGCCAGGAAAGTCTGATGACGAGGTTGACATCTCGAAGATCCGACCAGTGACTATCCAGTTCGTCCAATTCGGCAACCACCGAAATGCGACCGAGAGGTTTCGACGATTGGACGATGATATGGAATTGTATGGATGCCCGTGAGTACTTTCTCGAAACCATTCGCAATTTTCAAAGGCCATCCTCCGCCAGACCTGCGTTTCCCTCTGAAGTTTCTTTCGCTAATTAGCCACCGCAGTGATCTGATTGACACTGAAGGTGCCGATGGCGATATCTACAAGATGTTCCTCGGAAGCCTATGCAAAGACATTGACGGAATGATGCAATCAAACCTTGGCCCCGCTCTCTCTGCTGTCCCCAGCCTTGAACGATCACCAAGTCACTTGGTCAGCAGGCGAAGCTTTCGACACCAGGACTTTGAGGATACATTACCGACCTCTCAAGCCATAGGAGCTCGTAATGTCCCCATGGAAGCTTCGAGCCAGTTGAGTAATTCGCCCGTCGACCAGAACAGATCGCCCCAGTCTGCGTCACAACCTCCGCAGGGCCCTGGCTTCTCCAGCGAGTCACGACAGTCGAGCTTTCTCAACCCCGCGCAAAGGTCATCGACAATCATGCTGGCAGGTCCAGCCTCACCGCGTACGACATCTTCACCTGGGACTCCAGGGTCCGCGCGGTCGTCGCAGGCTCACGGAAATACCCAACCGCAATCACCCACGTCACCAACGTCTATTGCATCATTGCCTTCGCCAGCGAAATCACTATCGTCTCGCTTTTCGCGACTCATATCACCACGTTAAGCGTCGTCTTGGTGATCGCGTAACACGCTTGAAAATCGATGGGCGACGGACCGAATCTCCGGCACGCATTAATGTAGTTGAATAGAGAGGGAAGTTCAAGGGGGGTAATAGCTTGGAGTTGAGGGAATTTGTTCGTATGCCGACGATTCATGCTTCCAATGAATGTTTTAACAGTTTGCCCATTTAAGACACCATTCCAGAAGCGAATATGTATCATGCTGGAAGCGTTCGATGTAGATACCCAGTAACCAGTCCCAAACTGTGGAGCAACTCATTCCACACCTCGAAGGTGCGCCCGATTCACATCTGAGGCCATGCTTATATGTCGAAACATAAGAAGCGTCTTTCTAAAATGAGGCGAACCAGAAGAACCAAGACTCTGTATCGTCGTCCCGCGGCTATTCAGCGTGGTTTCTTCGGCACTTTCCTCTTTCTCATGACTTCGTCAAAGATCGTCTCCTCAACTAATCGTCTACAAGGCTACCTCACGAGATCTCCGACTTTAAGCCGATTTCTACGATTCTGACCCTGATCACGATTATGGATCATGAAATTTAACAGCGAAGCAAATTGAGCTTTCACATAACGGTCTCCGGGATGACTATCGCCGCCACTTAGTCTCGAGACAACATGGCTTCCTCTCGTACCAGGCAAAGGATCCGGATTGAACGTTTTCCTTCGGCTGAAGTCATTGACCTATAGAATGTGTCCTGAGCTGGACATACTATGTGTCGTAGACAGCGTGCCGCATCTGGGAGAAACCCAGCGCAGAAATCTTCAGGATGAAAACCGCGGTGCACTTTTTTTTACTTGCGCAAGACCGTTCTCCAGCTCATAGTAGATTCGTGACTTCAATCTCGCACACTTTATTTTACACCGAGAACCAGGCAGATCATGATGTGGAAGGTGACGAACACCTAGTTTGCTTGTTTCGTGCTATACACCTCAGTGGAACATTTGCCAAATGTTCTCCGTATTCCTGAACCCATCCAACGCAAGCGCGTGCTGTGCGTCTTGAACCCAACCTGCCGTCCAACCCATGTATATACATGTCTACGGGACGAACCCTTTCGTCTTCCCAGAAAGCGTGAACAGCCTTTCCCAAGTCCCCAACACCTTGCAAGAAATAACAGTATTGTGAATTCCAAAAATAAAAGGAAGAAAACTCTCCTTGCGGAGAGGGATACAACGCCTGTGTGCCATATCGAGATCGGGGGAGCGACGGTTGCCATTCCGCTCGCCTCCCACCACCCCTTTTGATCCATCCGCTGGAAACTGTTTTAGTCGTCCAGAAACGTGGCCGTTTGTGTGTGTATATATACAACAATGATTTCAAGGCCTCGGTTGCACCACCGAAAGGCATTCGGCTCTTGAGGCGCGAAATGCTGTCACCGCATTCCACTGAGCCATTGTGAAACGTATCTCGACCCGACCGGTTGAGAGAGATATAAATAGAGATAGGTCGATATCGAAGAGAGTCCGGAAGTGACTGAGAACCGAAAAGACGGAGTATAGAAATAAATCCGGCTGCGCGGGTGTGACCCAGCGAGTGTCTCCACTCGGCCGACGACACCGGGCAGCCGTGGTGGTACTGATCATGATGTCATGACAAAATTGCCAATGAAAGGAAAACCGTTCTCGCTTTTTTTTCGTGATTTCTTTTTTCTTGGTCGACCCTGCGGAGGTCGCGTGGTGGAGGGCGATGTTGGGCAGAGCCGCGTCATGCAGATTGTCAACTGAAAGTCGGCCCAATGAACGCCTGAGCGCGGCCCAACTGCCTCAGATCTCAACCCCAATCACGATTTGCGGGAAAAGTGCGACTTGAGTGACACGATTGTGTGAAATATTCCGAAATTAAGAAAAAATTAAATCCGTGAGAATTCAACAACGATCCCAATTAGTCTTTAGTAGGCGGTGTAGCCTTCAAAGCCCTCCGCGGCAAGCGGGTCCTGGTGGTAGTTGGTGGGTGTGACAGTGTTTGACGACGAGATGGAAAAGGCCGTCTCGTGCGACAAACCGTTGTTCATTGGCGAGTTCTGACCAAACGGGGAGAAGGCAAAGGCTTCCGACGCGGAGGAGAGCGGCATGTTGGAAACAGCCAGGTACGAGGCCTGGGTAGTATCGATTGCCGCCAACTCAGGCATGTGGTAGGACGGCGGGAAACCCATGTCGTAGGTCATGTTCTCGCCCATGTGGCCAAGAGACAGGTCCATCGACATGGAGGGTTCGAACTGTTGGGCAGTGGCCTGAGTCTCCTCCTCATCTTCCTCTTGGGCCTCGCCATCGGCAACCTCGTCGTCGGCAGCCACAAACACCTCTTCCATCCACTGCTTGAGCTCGTTCATGGGGGGCCAGTCGCCACCGCCCTTGCCACCGCGTTTCTCCTCGTCGTCACCCCGCTTGTTCTTGCCACGGGGAGTCTTGGGCTTGAAATGCGTGCGGCGGAGATGGGCAGCGGCGTTGTAGTAAGCGCCGTATTGCTTGCGGGCGACGCACTGCTTGCACTTGGAGAGCGGGTTGATAGCCTGAACGCCACTTTGCATGCCGACCGTGCTGGGGTCACGGCATACAAACTTCTTGACGATGCCCTCGTGCTTAGCGTTGATGTGTCGGCGCAACTCGTGGTCGCCGCGGAAGCCATCGGGGTGATCGCTGCACATGTCGCAGAACACCTTGGGGTGCTTGGGACGGGTGTAGCTACCCTTAGACACAGCAACTTTGCCTTCCTTCTTAGCAGAAGCTGACTGGGACTTGACAGCGTCGTGAGGCTTGGGGCAGATCTTTGTACGGTTCGCATTTTGAATCTGCTGGAGGCGTGCTTCTTTTGCCCTGCGCTCGGTGCTTGACTTGGTGGATGCGTTGCTGGTGGCGGAAATAGAGCGCTCCATCATCGAGGAGCCTTGACTGAGGAACTGCTCATCAATGGGCGACTGCTGAGGATATTGAGGCGACAGGCTTGTGCCAGCGCCGACGTAGGCGAGGTAATCTGACTTATTCGGTGACGTGCCGGAGGGGACAGCGTAAACTTCCGGAGACATGAAGTCGGCAGCACCTTGGGAATGTGCCGAGTTAATTCTCGTCATACCGAATGCGCCGCTGAGTGACTGGTTGTCAAAAGAGCTGTTCTCCCTCGTAAGAGGCATGGTCTCGGCAGCCGATGTGCCAGAGCTCATGGACGGGCAAACCGAGTTGATGAGGCTGGCCTGTGAATTCCGGCCATCGTAGGGCGTCAGGAAGTTCTGCGGCGGCGGGACCATGGCTGGAGATGGTATGCTCTCGTCTTGCGCAGCGAGGAAGTCGAGAGGGTTCATGCCGACCTCTGGGAAACCTGCGTTCTCCTCGACAGGCGAGAGACCCGAGTGGCGTTTATTTGTTGGCGATCGCTGAAGGGAGGACTCGAATAGGACATGAGGGTCATCTTGGCTCTGGTAGAAGCGGTCCATCATGGGATTAGGGTTATTTGACGTCTGGAGGGGCTGTAGAGGGCCCTTGACGACAAAAGGGATAGACTTTTCTGATCTGTTGGAAGCACTTCTAGACATGCCCGTCATGGGCGTGGCGCGGGGGTGCTGCTGGGACATGACCCTCGCGCGCTTTACGGGATGGGGCGAGTCATCACTTGTGCGCTCCTGGAAGAGATTGTTAGCACACGGACACCTGATTCACGATGGTCGCGAGCAGTGAAGATGGTGATGGGAGCTGTGGTGATGCATTACCATCATTCTTGTGGGTTGGGCAGCGTAGCCCATGTTGGACTTGCTTCTGGGTATTGTGGCCCTGCGGTTGAGCAGAGGAGCAGCATTGGGCTGTTGGTGTTGTGTGAAGGCGGCGGCGTCTACATGGTAGTCCCCTTGTGATTGGAGCAGGTTGAAATTGCTCTGGGCAGCTTGCGGTGCTACTGATGCATTTTGCTGAAGAAGAAGGTTTTGGAGATTTGCCAGCTCTTGTTGCTTCTGTTGCATCTGCCTCTGAATCTCCTGGACGTTATTGTAAGGATGGTTCATGTTGGCTCAAGTTGGCGGAGAACAGCGGGGTGATGAGCGTAGCAGCTAGGGTGGGTTGGGTATGGTGAGGAAGAGTGAAGCGTGTCGGGCTACCACTCGGTTGAGGAATTCAAGGCCGTCCGAGTCAAGACGGAGGGATAGAGCGTGGTGTTAGACGTCGGTAGTAGACGAGGTGTGATGTGACACGATGTTGCTGCAGCCTCGTTCTTCTTTCTCCAACGCATTCAAGGTCTCCCGAGTGACGAACTTGTGGAAACCAGGCGGGAAAAATTAATTGTTTTCCTAGGAGCGAGACAAGCAAGACAAAACGCTGTTGTTTGGTTCTTGGTCTTGTCTTTCTATGGAGTATGGCTGGTGCTGCGCGGCGAAACAATAAGACCCAGCGGGAGTCAAGATTTGTTTCCTGGTATTCGAGACTCTTTTGGTGGATTGTTGGGGGTCTCGAAGATTTGTGCGAGCAGCAGGATTCAAGGTTGACTTGTCTTGAAGTTTGGCGAGGCGGGTTGAGGCGAGTTGATGTTCGATGGTACAGGGAAGTCTGTGGCTTCGAATAGGAAGACGATCGCAGGAGAATTCGGGAAGGCGGACGGCGAGAGGCCAGTGGTTTAAAGAAGTCGACAGGATCAGCAGCGCAACGAATGTCCAGTCATGGAAGTGAGGCTTTGCGGCGTCTCCACAGCGAGCTGGTAATGTCGGTGGAACAGGCAAGACAGAGCACGCTAGACGAGCAGGGATGGAGGATGGAGATGGATGTGAGGGTGGATGAATGATGGTGGATGGGAAGGGGAGGGGAGGGGGGTGCGAGGATGTTGGTGTGTGGGTGGTCGTGGTGGGTGGTGGACGTGCGTTGCGTGTGTGTTGCGATGATGATGTGGTGGTGTGCGGGATGGATGGAAGGATGGGGGTGTGGGTGTTTCTGTCCAGTGTCTTTTTGGGAAAACTGTGAGATGGTTTGGATTGGCCGAGGATCAAGCAGCATTGGGGTTGGATGGAGGGTGTGATTGAGACTGACGAGTGAGAGTGAGAGTGAGAGACCGAAAAGAGTGAATTTGAGAGTGAGACTGAGAGCAAAGTACAAGTGAGTGAGTGGTGGTGGTGATGATGAGCTGGCAGTCAAGAAACAGCCGCCACTAACAAACACGGGGCAAAACACAATGACATTCACTGCTCTTTCGGTATTGCAAATGTTACTGCAGTTCCATCAATGTTACAATGGAATACATAGGTAATTGCGCTGCTCCTCTGCTGCTGGGCTGCTATTCTGCCCGGCGGTCAAAGGTGCGGTGAGAAGAAAACGACTGGAAGGGGGGTGTGGGACGAGCGGTGGGAGGGACGATCAAGACCACGAGTGGTTGATCACCGCCGGCACGACCAAGGATGAGGGGACGACGAGAAATGGAACTCTCGACAGCACAGCACGCTGGAGGAAGACCAGCCAGCAGTGTACCGTGGGTATCCATACGAATATCCGTAGCATGGCAGAAAAGAGAGAGTAGGAGAAATACGTGGTCGGCATCGCAATTGGCGGCACAGGGCCGGCAAAGAACGAATGGAAGCGAGGAAAGAAGGTTAAAGTGGGTGCAGCCGCCCGCCCGTGGCCCCTCTCACTCTCACTCTCACGCCGGCCTCTCACTCCGCCTCTGGGTCTTTCCGTCCCCTCAGACTTCAGTGGGTTTGGAATGAGCTCAGTAGCGTGCCTCAGTGAGAGCATCACTCTCACTCTCACTCTGATTGACAACACGTGGACCACTTTACAGATGAAAAGCTGCTCTGCGACTGGATGGAAATTCATACAATTGCATTCACTCCCCAGGGGAACTGAGAGCCGTTTGTCTCCACTGAGCAAGTAGAAAGAAAATAAAAAGGCGTAGTGTAAAGGTAAACACGCAATATGAAAAAGGGCTGACTGGGATCTGCCCGTCAACACATCCGGCCGAACGAAGCGTCGTCGCACACGGCGTTTCCAGTTTCTCCCCAATCTGTCTGTGGCTCTCTCTCTCACACACACTGAACACACCCAGCGGCTCCTGAGAACGTGCCTCCCTCCAACCGCATCTCGGCTTCGGTGACGACTTGTCCCAGTTTCCAGTGGTATTTTTGGGAGGTGTGGGTGTAAGTGCTGGTCACCAGGGGGCGTGTGGGCACCGAACACGTCTGCTAGCGCGTGTGAGGCAGGGGTATGACGCCTAATCATCTCTCCTCTCATTGATGCTCGCCGAGTCACTCTCACTCTCAATCAGGTCTCTCTCACTATGGCTAGTGGTCACTCACTCTGGGTATCTCCATCTCCATCACGTTCTCTGGCATTCCCTATTCTGATACCGAGGGATAGGTAGAGAGAATTGAACTGGGCAGCAACCTTCTCCAACTCTTTGCCCGGCTGGCTGCCGTCCAGCTCACCCACGGACCTCTCCTGCTCACACCTCCCACGCGGAACACAACATTGGAATATACCACCCTCATTCTAAGCTACGAGGATGAGCAAGATGAAGTCGTATTCAGCAACTCCCAGTTGGGCACTCTTCATCTTGAATCTTGTCCGTATCGAGACTGGCCCTGAACCCACGGCTCAGGAACCTTGCTCTTAGCTTGGGCTATCACGGCTCTTCTAGACCTCTTGCGCGCGCCTGTCTAGCACCTACTAGGCCCCGTAGCTGGGCAGCTGTCTGTCATTGTCAATCTTGGGCCCCGGGGGCGGCGCGACCTTAATCTTGAGCCCTTACCAAACCCAGCCTGGTGCTGGCCATAACGTTCCCTAGTGCTGGCTATCATGACCTGACCTTCATCAAAAAGTGCCACTGTCCGAGGGCAAACTCATATTAACAAGGTCCCCCAAATTTCACTACCGCCAGGCGCCAGCAGCACCAAGCAACAAAGCACGACACGACGCAACTTTGGGGTTCGGGCCGCCGTGCTGTATGTCTGTCACATTGAGAGGAACCTGGCCAAGAAAAACGTGGACAGCCGCAGTCTGGCCGGGCCTGAAAGGCAACTCAAAAAAGCCCGGCCGTCGGTCTGAGAGCTACCTCACAGTACCCTCGTCCCCTTGATATTCGGCGCCTCTCCACTAGGTAGTGACCACCTCACTGTTAGTAATTATACGGATTCCGCAAGAAACCTGGCAGAATGGGCCGACATCGTGATCGTCCCGAACTTTCACAAACCAGGCCCACCTTTGCGGATCCTCCTCGTTGCGGTAAAACGAGATCGCGATGCGATGGAGATATGCTATGCCCTGCCATGACTTGTTGTTGGTGTCTCTTTTTTGGAATTGGCCCATTATCGTCTCTCAACACCATATGCCGTCCAAGCAACCGGATCCAAACACACCTCACCTCAACCCTTCCGATGCCGTCTCTTGTTGCAAACACCGCGCGTCCATTTCGCATCCATATGACAATCCGAGCCGATATGAATGACTCTTGTTGACTCTGCTCATCATGCTTGACTTTAATCCGTGCCCGTGGCTTTGATAGAACCCCTCTTCTTGAGAAAGAAGCACCAGAAGAACGATTAATGCCGCGACTTATCCTAAGACGGTGACCATCGCGCGCAACTGTGCGCAAGCAGAAAAAGAGAATGCGCACGAAGCAGCAGCTTAGCCGCTTCAAACGGTCGTTCGGCAACAAACACCCACCATCATCACCAACACACACACCATTGATGAAGGCCCCGCATAGCGATTGCATGAAGATCGTCCGCAAAAATAAACAGACCAGACCACGATCAAACCAGACCAGCCAAACTATGCTCTTGCGAAAACGGGCACAAGTTGCCCTTCTTCCTTTTGTCACACCCCGTTTACTTCGGTGGGATGGGTGGCTTCGGGAGGGGAGGGGAGCGAGAGGTCTTACCGCAAAGCGCGCCGTTTTGAACCGCTTCTTCACACCAAGTTCCAACCGCTTCTCTCCCCGTCACGCCCGTCTGACAAGAACATGACTCGTCCCTGGCGCCATTGACCGTTAGGCTTTCTCTCATGCGGTTGCGGCAGCCGCTAGAGTTGACAGCCCATACAGCCCACGGCAGCCCGAGAGCCAAAAAAGGTAAAACAAGAAAAGTCAACCATTCTTTTTGAGTTTCCATGTTAAGTTCCCGCGTCGGGCTTGTTCAACGGGACCAAGAAACCTATTGGACGGGTTGAGATCGTTATCAAGCCTGACGGATACCATCATCATGACTTGTCCGGTTGTAATAGCCGCAAATGAAGGGAAAATGGTAGAGCAACTCTATTTCGTCTGGACTTCTGTAACCCTTTCCCCTCATGTATTCGCGTCCTTCCTCGTCCTTAATTACCCTTTTTAATATCAACATAGCTTCAAGTTCGTTCATGCAAAGCTTCCCTTAGCTCCCCTTCAACACACACACACCACCCCATTTCTCACGACTCTCACAACTTTTCACGCGTCAGTCAACCGCGAGCTTCCACTTCTCCTCTTCATCTCACACATAAGCGAATGGGTCAAAGAGTGAATTGGCTTTTGCTTGTCTTTCGGGACGAGATCGGGATGAGGGGGGGCGGAAACTTCTTTTCCCATTTCCCCTTCCTGCCTTTGCTTGACACAACCTAGATCCTTGGGTTTTCATCTCATTTCTCGGATCATAAATTTCTCTGCTGATTTTCTTCTCAACGGTCCAAACTTCACGCACTAAGACGGTAGGCCATCCATGAAGAGTGGGCGATAATTACTCCGTTATTAATGACGATGCGATGAAAAAAAAAATGTCCATGAGGGAGACTTGTAAGATCTTCAATGACGGAACGTGTCACACGTTCGACAAAACCGAGCGCTTAGTAGTAAGTACATGCGTACGGAACCAAGAAGAATTCCAATGCAGGCACTTACACGTTTCCTGAACCAAACAACGATTCAATCCTCTCCTAATTAGTAGAGTGCAAGACATCCCAAAACACGTTCTTACGCAGGGGGGCCCGAGGTTTTGTCGAACAGAGCCCATGCCTGGCGACCTAATCTGCTTGATCTCCAAGTCTGGACCAGGGA